AAAAGGGCAGCTAGAATTATTTTAAACGAACACGATATTCGTAAACCATCTACTGAACTATTTAAGGATTCTGGAATTATTCCCGTTACCAAGAGAATACTTTACCACAAGTCATTATTAATGTATAAATCAAAACATGAACTGGCACCAAAATATTTATCAAATCGTATTGTGCCTACAAATAGTAAACAATCGTACAATACTCGACTTTCATCATCACATAATTTTATTGTCCCTAAATCAAAAACAGAATCATACAAATCAAGTTTTTCTTTTAGTGGTCCAAAAGTGTGGAATTCACTATCCAGTGAAATTAAAAAAATCAAAAACTATATCTGCATTCAAATACTCTTACAAGTCATTATATTTTTAAAAGTGTGAAATTTATAAGTTAAGCCACAGTGTATACTATAGGTGGTTTTTTGTTGTTGTTATATTTGTGTATATATACATCTATTGTTTATATGTGTGTAATAGTAGATTAATTATGTTTTATTCATGTAGTTGATATTGTATGTAGAGAGCCTTATTGAAAATTGGTTTAATCCAAATGAGTTACTCTCTTTAAATTAAGATATTATTATTTTTTTATTAGTATATCATTAAATTTTTGTCTCGCCTGCGATTTGTCGTAGTATGCGAGACATAGTGATTTCTATCCGGCGGCGGTGGTGTAAACTATTTGTATAAAGCTGTATATTTCAGAAGGTAGAAGACCTCGATGCTTCATTCCTTGTATGCAGATGTCTTATGTTACGAAGTTTCTGTCTGTCATATGTCCATTGTCCTTGACCTCATTTTCACGGTTCAGCGACTGCTTGAAATTTTTTAGTTTTTTTGTCATGTAAATTTTTCACTTATGAATAATAGGATAACTACTGGCAAAGTTGACCTTAGATGGATTTAGACATATTTTAGGTCCTTTTTGGTAATACAACTCTTCAAATATTTCGGATCTTATACATCTTTGTCTTTCAAACATTCGGCTTTGAGCGTTCCTGATGAAGAAAAAATCTAGAAAAGCGCTTCAAAGGCGTAAAATTTATAACGTGTCTTTTTTTTTCTATATTTGGTATATGGGTTCCTTGGAACGTCTACATGACCGTCAAACAGGGTTCACCAGAGTTAGCATTGACTTCATTTCATAGATCACACCGTCCAGAACGCCACATGCGGGGTGTTGGTATTAATATATTAATATTATATAAAAAAAATCTGAAATATGATTGAATTCAAAGCGACTGTGTTTTTGTTATATAGTATAGTTAAATTGTCTTAGAATTTTATGAAACTTTGGTAGGAGATTTTTCTATGATTAAGAGAAAATGCGCTATAAACGCTTTACGATGTGTTTTACATTTATAATCTCTATTCTTTTGGTATATATATATATACCTACCTACTTCAATGCATAGGGAATAGGCATATTGATATAGGTACAGAGAAGACATTTGCACTAGGTATATATTATTAAGAGTACATAAAGAATGTCTATACCATACATAAGTCATTTTCGTTAGATACGATCTTATAGCCAGGAGCACATTCACCTTTCTTGATATGCTTGATAAATTTACAAATTTTATCTATAGCGATTTTCTTATGTCATAATCTTCCTATAATAAATACTAGTAGTATTCAGTGCAAATATGTTTTTGTTACAAAGTATAGAATATATACTTTAATTTTATTGAGGGTCTGGATAGGGGGTCCATCATTTCTGCATTCCTTTATATTTTAGGTCATTTTTCTCTATTTTTTGCCCATTATTCTCCATTCTTTATACATGAACTTAAGCACCCCATTATTCTCTATTCATTATTTTTCATGCTATTTTTCTCCATTCTTTATTATTGTTGCATGTTAATTTTTCTGTACATTTGGCCCTTTATTCTCCGTAATCTGTAAACCCCATACATACCCTCTTCTATCTATATTATTCTACGACTTCGCTCATCGGAAAGCTGCTTGTTATAGACCATAATATAAGTTCCAAGTGGAAGAAATATTCTGATATATATTTCCACTGCAGTAGTGTTGTTCCTTACGGAATGAAAGGTATAGAATATTTGTTCCAACAGGAACAGATGGGAGAAATCCGTTTGCACAAAAATGCGTTCTTTTGTGCCACTAGTTTTAATAATATCATTTGCGCCAAAAATAAAGTATACGATTGCGCCAATTAAAAAAAAAAAGCAAAAGCAACTGCCCACCTACTTATATTATTCAATGTAGGTAGTGACACTTCGAACAACACTAACATGTTCCATCTGCAAATACATCTTCTGCATCCTCGTCCTGAACATGCATGACATATTTGCCATTGAACGTTAAGCAACCAATAATCAATCAATCTTCTGCATCCAACCCGTGAACCCGAAAAAAATTACATTAGCTTCACAACAAAGAATCACTATTCCATGCAGTTTTAATATCATTCAACAAAACAAAGTCCTCATCTTTATTGTTACAAATTAACTTCATGTAAAATTTTCTAAAAGATTACCAGGTGATTCACCTCTGAAATAACTCCGATCATATGATCTTATATTTTTTTAATGGTATACTCACCTTTCAGTTTATATTTTAAGCAACAATTGTCATATTTGTGACATGAATTATACTTTTTAAATTAAATTTATCTTTGATTATTTTATATGATAATTATGTGTACAGGTAAATTGGCACAAATGAAATGAATACCGTATATTGGCGCATTTGATACCTTCGAAAAATAATATTTGGCGAAAATGATACATCTCAAAAATAGTAAAATAGCAATTGGCGTAAATGGACTGCTGTCGTACAGAGCATATATTATGGCATTGTTTATATTAGATGTAGTCTTTTCATATCTGAGACATCTACATCTGATTTAAATAAAAGTAAATTAATGATTAATTCTTTTGTATTTTGAGGGGCCTGATAGGTTATTTTCGTTCTTCGTGATCGGCGCATTTTCGCTATCGTGATCCGTTTTTCTACAGATTTTTTTTTTTATATTTTCGTGAATCGTGATTGACAAAAAAATCAACTCGTGAATCGTGATGAGACCCCCCCCCCCCCCCCATCAGGCCCCTCTATTTTTGCTAGTTCTAAAAAGAGCAATTAGTTCTGATAAAACAGGAATAGTGTCAATAAATGAAGTTTTATAGATCCACTAACACTTTCAGAAGATGTTTTATATGTTTATGGATTAGGAATGAAATTTTAATTGCGTCTTTTTTCCTATCATTAAAATAATACCTTATCAATGATTTTGTATGGCAATATGAATCACTATACTATCTTGTCTTTTTCTGGTTTAATTTCCAAAATCTTAACTTTTTGCTGATAAATGATAACACTTCTATGAATCTTCTGTGAATGTATATAGGTCAGAAAGTCACAGGACAAAAAGTCAAAATTTAGTTTTGAGATTATTTTTCTTTGAATAACAAAACATTTATTTTCAAAACATTTTTATATTTTTCTTGAACTTTTATATATTATATAAGGCAACTTTGAAACAACATTTATTCTAAAAAAAACATCAATGATGAAATAATTGTAACAAAAACAATTTGTCAAAGTGGCTTGTTACTTAAATGGCTTCTTGGTGCCAATAAATATATCCTTGGCATGATAACAATTTGATAAATCTTCATTTAATCAAGGCTTATGAACAATAATAAAAAAAAATTATTTCCAGAACTTTCTCTTACACATTCAAACAATTATAAGCAAATCATTTGTGACTTTTTATCCTGTGACTATTTGTCATATCAAATTTGTGACTTTCTGTCCTGTGACTTTTTGTCCTGTGACTTTTTGTCCTGTGACTTTTTGTCCTGTGACTTTCTGTCTTGTGACATTTAGTCCTGTGACTTTTTATCCTGTGACTTTTTGTTCTGTGACTTTCTGTGCTGTGACTTTCTATGCTGTGACTTTTTGTCCTGAGACTTATTGTCCTGTGACTTTCTGTCCTGTGACTTTCTGTGCTGTGACTTTCTATGCTGTGACTTTTTGTACTGTGACTTTTTGTCCTATGACCTTTTGTCCTGTGACTTTCTGTCCGCTTACCGCTTCATTGACTTATACCGCACATCACATGTTATTCTAGTGATATTATGTTTCTCTGAAATGGAATATCCGTTATGATAATATAGATAAAAAAGCTTGCTCATAATTAAGAAATAACAGAAAGTGATTTCTGATATTAATAATTCCAAAATATTATAATATCAACATCGAATCTTCTTTAATAAGCTTTTCCGTACAATGTAAATAACAGAAAGTGATTTCTGATATCAATAATTCCAAAATATTGTAATATCAACATCGAATCGTCGTTAATTAGATTTTCCGGACAATTTCTATAATTAAGAAATAACAGAAAGTGATTTCTGATATTAATAATTAAAAAATATTGTAATATCAACATCGAATCTTCTTTGATAATTTTTTCCGTACAATGTAAGTAAAATAAAGTGATTTCTGATATTAATAATTCCAAAATATTGTAATATCAACATCGAATCTTTTTTAATTAGCTTTTCCGGACAATTTCCATAATTAAGAAATTAAGAAATAACAGGAAGTGATTTCAGATTTTAATAATTCCAAAATATTGTAATATCAACATCGAATCTTCTTTAATTAGCCTTTCCGGACAATGTCTATTAGCAATTTACCTGTACTATAAATTACATTTAAATGTTAGAATAAAAATAACACAGGCAAACGTAATTTTTTACACATTAACTGCTCTGATTACAAACAATACATAGATCTTCATAACAATACCATTTCTCATTCATACCAGGGTACAATTGAACTAATACTTGAGGGTCTTTATGAGGTACAAAGAATAGAGAATAATGGGCAAAAATCTACTGAAAAACGGACCAAAAGCATAAAGAATAGAGAAAAAGAGGACACAAATTAAGAATTAAGAATAATGGGATGTTCAAATATACAGAAAATAATAGACAAAAAATGTAAAGAATTGAGAAAAAAGACATAACACATTATAAGATACAGAAATAAAGGACCCAATCCAGACCCTCGTACTTAAAACTTTAAATTACGTAAAGAAACAAATAAATTTAGCCAACCAGAACCAAGCTACCCCTTTACATAGCTATATAAAATAGAATTTATTGGCGGATGTTTTTATACAGTTAAAAGGAACTAAAATGAAAAAGTGGATTCTTTAAATGAAAGAAAAACTTGCAAAGTCATTTAAGGACTTGTTTTGAGTGCTGTTTTACAAATAATGTGTGTATATGTACAGGGATATAACACAACATAGCGGATATATTACAATACTGTAAGTATTTATGTGTTTATAATCCGTTCAAAAATGTTTGTGGTTTAATTATGAACACAAATTTAAAGAGATAGGCCTATATAATTATGTTTATATTATTGATTATGAAAACATGCTAGAAAAAATGAGAAAATTCTTACAGTTGACCACACTATAATGATCAGTGTTCTAGGTAGGATTAGGGACTGGGGGCAAAGTTTTAAAATAAAGGATACTTTATCGCGGTTTCTAGTCTTAGTAGGGACAAATTGGCCGTGTTTCGTTAAAGAATTGAAATAAGTGAATAAACTTTAGTATTTTTTGGTTGTAAAAAGCTTTTCCCAGTAGTTTCCAATCTTCTAAAAACCAAAAAGCACAGGACATTACAATAAGGGAAGTGATATGCACAGAAGGACCGAGGGGGAGAATAGAAAGGTTACAGAGGAGCTGTGCCTCTTTGTATTGGGCTAGCTTTAGGATTCTGGTTATATTGTACGAGAAAGACTGAAGAGACCAACACATCATTGTCAACAACAATGTTTTATTCATTCAAATTGAACTTATATAATTCCAAATTAGAGCTTAACATTCATGATGGTGTGGATGGGGGTTTACACAATAGAGAAAAATGGCAAAAATATAGAGAATAGAGAAAAATGAAGTGCTTAGATATAAAGAATAGAGAATAATGGGCAAAAGGTATACAGAATAGAGAATAATGGGCAAAAGGTATACAGAATAGAGAATAATTGCCTAAAAAATTAAAGAATACAGACTCGATATGAAGAACCCCAATCCAGACCCTCATTCATTCATCCCTTGATTAAAAATAAGATAGACACCCTCTTAAATCATATATTATTAAACCTACCTCCGTCCCAAATAAAAGATAAATTCTACCGACTTTCAAAATATTAAAAACTCTAGTCTACTACCATGTTAATAATGATATTCCCTCCCAACCTTAACCCGAATAATTCAGTCGTTATATTCCACTGCTCTACGATGGCTACATACTTGCGAGTGGGAGAGACGATCACGGGGAGGGACTGAATTATTCGGGTTATCCTAAACTGACAGCTCTGATACCACTTCTAAACACTCAGGGGCGGATACAGGCGGGGGCGTGGCGGGGGTGCGCCCCCTTAAATTTGCAAAGCATGGGTTGTCCTCAGCTTAATAAAGAATATTTCGATAATTTTACCTCAAAAAAATTTTGCGCCCCCTAACCTTAAATCCTGGATTTGCCCCTGACTATGACATTTTGTCTTCCCAAATATCTGATAAGCTTGACTCCTCTTCTGTTATCGATAACATTATCTCTTAATAAAATCATTCATAACACAGTTTTCTCCAAAGATATTGAAAAACCTGTTTCCTCTACGCACTCTCCAAAAAATATAAAATTATTTCTTCTATACACTTCTCCCCAAAAATAATTGATAACACTGTCTCTTCCTAAATCGTTGGAAATACTTCCCCTCTACATGTCATTGATAGCACGGTCTCCTCTCAATTCATTGATCACTCTGTCTCCCATTCCTTTAAAGCATTGATAACGCCTTTTCCACCTTAATTATTGATAATACTGTCTCCTCCGATATCGTTGATAATACTGTCTCTTCCGAAATCATTGATATACTGTCTCCTTCGAAATCATTGATAATACTGTCTCCTCCGAAATCATTGATAATACTGTTTCCTCTGATATCAGTGATAACATTGTCTCCCTTAAACGTTGTCTCCCTAAAACAATTGTTTACAATGTTTCCTCCTAAATCATTGATAACAATGTCCCCTCCGAAATAATTGATAGGGCTATATAACTCCCTAAAAGTCATTGATGATAATGTCTCCCTAAAAATCATTGAAAATCTGTCTCCCAAAAAAATCACAGATAACACTGTCTCCCAAAAATAATTGATACAACCGTAATTTCGACAGATTTTGGCAAATTTAAAGTAATACATTGTATTTCCAAAAAGGTATAAAGAGGGCAATTCTGTCTTAACCAAAAACCAAAATTTTTTTTCGTCGTAGTGTCCTTTTCGAATACAACAATGTTATATTCATTGTTGAAGACCCTACATCAACTGTCAAGATGAAGAACAGGAATAAAAGCCCTGTTCATTGATAACTTTCTATGTTTTCTATGTATTGTGTGCAATTTTGTCCCATGTACATTTACTCCATATCCTTTCATTTTCTATAAGTCATTTTGGTTAGAGACGCCATTCTATGTAAAATTGACAGTATAGTCTCTACAACAATATGTAGCGCTATATTCAAATTTTACTATACGAACAAAATATGTCAAGTTCGCCAGAAGTTCAATTTGTCCTATAGAAAGCAGTACCGGTTTCATTCAAACAATTGAGGGTCTGCATGTTGTTTACAGAATAAAAAATGATCGATGGTTGTTTGCTTAACGTTCAGTGGCAAATATTGCATGTATGTTCAGGACGAAAATAATTAACAATAGATGAATACTAGTAGATAGGTCCTGCAGTAGAGGTCGACTATGAAGGTCGGGAAATTTTGACTGGGACTGGAAAAAATGAGAGTATATTGGATAAGGACAGAAATGTAGCCTTTCAACAAAAGTTGTTGCATGGGTTCTTAAGTTCAGCACTCTTTGTACACGGGGCATCGGATTTTACGTCCTCATTCTGACCGGACGTGGCTGCGTATTTATAAATCCCGCACCACCAAGCTGAAGCCCCACTTTGGCAAGCGTTTATCTGCCGGTCGGAAGCAGACCAAAAGTGACCATACTTTTATTCCCCTGTCATCCTTTGGGTTTAAAGAATAAAAAATAATGGACACAGGACTTGCGGTCAATACGATTATCGTACTTAACTTGTGTACATTGTTTTATTTAACGCCATTTTTTCTCAGGTTAAGAGTTGTCTTTTTGACACTGTTCCTACATCTTTTTTTATTAATATTGTATGTATTTCGTGTCATAGATCAAACTTATTCGTTTAGTGTATGTTAACTTGTTTTTGTTTAAATGTCTTTTTGATCGAGTTAAGCCATTTCAATTGATATTTTATAGTGTGTCTTTTTATGTTGTAATGTAACACTATTGTCTCCGGTTAGAGTGAAGGTTGGCGCCTGTTAAAACGTTTAACCCCGCTGCATTTTTATGCACCTGTCCTCAGTCAGGAGCCTGTTGTTCAGTGGTTGTCGTTTGTTGGTGTGGTTGATAGGTGTTTCTCGTTTCTCGTTTTTTTATATAGATTAAACCGTTGGTTTTCCTGTTTGAATTGTTTTACACTAGTCATTGATAGGCAAACATATAAAGAATAGATAAAATAGGCTTAACAAATAAAGAAATACAGAAATAAAGACACCCAGTCCAGTCCCTCAATTACCCAGACACTGACTTTTATCAACCTGTATTTATCATAATGAATTATGCATCTCTGTTCATTGTATGCTCGTACCAGTTAATTACTCCCCGTTCACTTAGAATTTAAATTAACTGTTTCTAACAAAACAAAACGTATGTGTTAATTTTGTTCTATTCGGGATAACTGATCGTAAATTCCAACTCTTTTCCGTTCAAATCTCTCAAATTATAATTATTCTACATCAATTCTAAAAGTTTAAAAAAATTCCTTGTAGAATGTTGGACTTAAAAGTTGATGCGAACACGTTGCATTTACGTCATCCCAGACCGGTAATGTGCAATTTATCAGTTCGATATATATGGATATAAATATTTAACGAGATTTTGTCATTATTAAAAAATCAATGTACACGTTAATAAGACATAAGTGCTATAAGGACTTGTACTCAAGTACATGTAATTGAAAATTTAAATACGTCATTAGAATTACAATATTACAGGATCAATTGTCTTTTCAGTATATGATATATATCTTCATTCTCATCAACTAATACAGAGGTGTAGAGAAGAAATGTGTAACATCATAATAAATACATATAATTTAGATACAATATGTATTTGCAAATTACAAAACAAAATCCCATTTTTCCCTTAATTATGTAATGGACTCTCTATTTTTTTAGGTGTTTATTTTTTGGTAATGAAAGTTTAATATCTTTAATATTCAAACTTATCTACACTTATTAAACGTGTACTTTCTCTTATCCACACGATCTTACAATAACATTAGTTTATAAGTGCTGCCACTTTTTTTTGTAAATTTAAATTCCTTTAAAATTTGAACTGATTTTCACTAATTTAAAGTGTTCTTGGTCTTATCAAACGATTTTTCAATCACAGTAAAGTATAAGTGCTGACCGTCTATATTCTTATTGTCCACATACATGTATGATAGAGGGACATGTCCGTCTGTCCGTTCGTTCTTTCGTTTTTCTCTCCCATTTTTGTATCCGCAATTTGCTCCTTAACTTCTCACATGATGTACCTTTGCACCTCTTATTTCATTTCTTTATCTCAAAGCTTTTGAGGGTTTACTTTGAAATACCATGTACGCATACTTCTTCATCTGTGCACGCTATAGTACACACACATTTTATATCAACTTCTCCTTCTAATTATTTTTTCATAATTATATGAATCATTCTCAGAATCTTGATCATATACCATTGTATACCTCATATTTTGCAAGGGGCGAGGGTAATCATCTTGTGAGATTTTCTCGCAAAATCTCGTTCTTATTGTTAACATTAATGATTTTGTAATGCTTATAAACTACTGTAAATTCTAAAATTATTGCGTGCATTTATTTTTGCGATTTTTGCAGAATTAACAAAATTGCGAGATTAATCATTTGTTAATTATTGCGATTTGTGGAAAAGCTTCATACAGATATATAATAGTCATATATCAGAATGCGAGTTCTTATTATTGCGATGTTTACCCAGTCGCATTATTCGCAAAATTAAAACCTCGCAATAATTTCTGAATTTACAGTAAACGTTATAATCACATTGCTATTGAACCTGAATTAAGTTACAAACAAGCACATTCATGCTTCCAAGCGGTCATTGGGGCATAGGAATATGGTCATCATATGGCGTCGCAGTTCAAAACCTTTTGAATTGATTAATTGTTATCGTCCTGATCATGTATGAAACATTTGCCATGACTGAACATAAATCATCAATCAATCAATCAATTATTTATATTACAGAAAAAGACATGGCCAGTGATGAAAGTTCCAAAACGGCTTGGTCAAACAGTGTCGAGGAAACAGCACATGAAGCGGGAAAATTACAAGAAGAACGAAGAAACCGGAAGCCATTTTTCTACTGCAGATGGGTAGCAACACGTCCTTATCTTATGTTTTGTACGTATTAAATAAAACAATATCTAAAATTAATAATGTTTATTTCGACTGCTAAATAAATAAATAACATGTTTGGATGGCTATTAAAATATAATAATGCTTATAATTAAACAAAAGAGAGACGGAAGATACCATAGAGATATTCAAACTCATAAGTCGAAAACGAACTGACAATGCCATGGCACAAAACAAAAAACGACCATAAAACGACAATAGACTCGAATCTGCCATCACTGACGAAGTACCTGACTTGGGACAATCTGATTGAATTACATTTCGTATGAATACCCTTCGAGTACATCTTCCAAGTTAAGGAAGCGTGGACACAGACGTCTGAATGCTTTTTTTAGATCTGCTTGGGCCCCAGTCACGGACTAGATAGACGAATGAACTGGCAAGCGGTGTTAACAATTTTTTCCCAGTCATTGGACCTCTTATAATATGTTTAATTTGGTTATTTAAGATTATTTAAAAGATTGCCGTCTCTGGTTTTTTTTTAAGTTTACCGCTTTTGGTTGTTTTTATTGTTTTGTTTGTTGTTAAATGCCACTTTATCGAACTTAGCTATACCATGATGGCTAGTTTTTATTGACAAAGTGGAGAGGACCACTAACCTTCGACGGGAAAACTGTCAATCCTTGACATTTAAGATCGGAGGCCAACAAACCTCGCCAGGAGCGGGGTTCTGACTCACAACTTCCGAGTTGACAAGCTAGTAATCACTGTAATGTAACTACTAAAACTGTTCGTCCACCAAAGCCCCTTATCCCCTTTTGTTAAGTATTTCAAAGCTAGGAATCATTTTCCTGCAAGGTAGTATATATATGAGGGTCTGGATGGGGTTTACAGAAAAGAGACAAAAAGAAAGAATATAAAGAATACAAACAAATAGACAAAAAATATAAAGAATAGAGAATAATGAGCAAAATAAATCAAGAATACAGAAATGAAGCACCCCCATCCAGACCCTCATACATGTGTTTCATCATTTCAACCCTCACTGTAACAGAAACACTGCATGGTATATTGTCTATTACCGATTTCCTTAGTTTTGACTAGAAAGAACGAAAATTGGTATCTTAAATTTCAAAGAATCCATCAAAAAGCTGTTAGAACTGGATATAATCAATATTGGAAGATGCAGCTTAAAGGTTAAATTCATGCGCGTGGGTGTGATTAATTTTTAGTTGTGCTTGATTATTCTTTTGACGTACTTCTCAGCCTTTTAACAGTTGGTATATGGAAAGAATTAATTACAACATTGACAAACTGATGAAAAATGTCCACTTGGTATAAAACAGGGTCTGGATGGGGTTCCTCTATTTCTTTTTTTTTTCTCTACTCTCTATTTTCCTCATTATTCTCTATTCTTTATAATCAAGCAACCCAGTCCCATTATTCCCTATTCATTATTTTATTTTGCCTATTTTTCTTTATTCTTCATCTTTTTTGCGGTTTATTCTACACTTATTGTCAATTATCCGTTCAAACCAATTCAGACCCTCTTATACGGACAGCGTAAATTACTAGTACGTCATTGACAACTGATAAATAATTTCCGCTTGGTATATGAATCTTAATCACGTTTTTTTTAAAGCTTTTTTTTTTGCTATTGATGCACGCGGGTATGCGGAAGGGGTTAACAGCAGAAGAGAAAACAATGAACTAGAAAAAAAAAAATAAGCCAGAAGTAAAGCCAAAGGATATAAAGAATAGAGATTAATTGGCACAAACAAAAAACTACACAACACAACACAACCACATCTAAAATAAATAAAGCATAGAGAAAAAAATGAATTTTATCTTATGATATTAAAGCACTCAACTATCTACCAAGAAAAGCTAGTAATTTTACTCTCTAACAAGAAAAGCAAGTAATTTCACTCTCTACCAAGAAAAGCTAGTAATATTACTCTCTCTCTCTACTAAGAAAAGCTAGTAAATTTACTCTCTATTAAGAAAAACTAGTAACTTTACTCTCTTCCAAGAACAGAGTAATTTTAGTCTATTCCAGGAAAAGATAGTAATTTTACTCTCTACCAAGAAAAGCTAGTAATTTTACTCTATATCAAGAAAAATAAATGGAGAATGTGTCCATGAGTACACAGATGATGCCCCCGCTTGCATATAACGTTATAAAGAAACATAACTCAAGAACGGTAAAAGTCGAACTTGGTCTGAGTTTTGTGGTGATAAGCATTGTGTACAAGTTTCATACCATTTGGTTGAGCTAGAGAACCGACATTAATTCGGGATGTACGTACGTACAGACGGACAAGGGTAACACTAAATGCCCCTTCCGCTGCGGGAGGAAGGGGGGGGGGGGATAAAAAGCTACAATTTTACTCTTTACCAAGAAAAGCTAGTTATTTACTCTCTACCAAGCACGTTTTACAAGAAAAGCTATACATAGAATGTTTACCTAGAACATTTAACTAAGCAAAAAGTCGGAATAAAGGCCCCCAAAAAACCAAAAATAGAGAAAATTTGGGTGCTAAATTATAAAGAATAGAGAATAACTGGTTGCTAAGATATAAAGAATAAAGAATTATGGACAAAATAAATAAAGAATAGACAAGAATGGTAAAAAAATATTATACAATAAAAAATAAAGAAATAAAGACCCTTATTAATGACGACTTTTCTTTATTTTGCAGTTGTGACGCTTATGTTACAGTTGTTACCGGTCTTTATTACTGGGATGTTGTTTGGTGTCAATTATGATTTGTTTCCAACAAACTTTGAACAATTACCAATGGAGCTTTATGACATTCCATACAGACTGAGAGATTATGCCTATAGAGATAAACACAAATATGACAACAGTATAACGAGATCACTAACTGATTCAGGATATCCAACTTACGAAAGAGGACTCTCATATTCGTTTTCAAATATCGAACTATTTTTTGATGCGGATGGCGGAAACATTTTGACAAAAGCAAATTTACAGACTATCAAATATATAGAAGAATATTTGGTAGCAGCAGATGGATATAGTACTTCATTTTGTCATACTCAAAATTCATCCTTAACATGCAAGGATCCGACTTCTCTGATTAGATACTTTGATGGATCTTTTGCCTCTGTGAGTCCGACTTTTAACGATCCGACATTCAGTAACATTCCTGGTGTAATTTATGAAGCATACACTAATAACTTGACAAAAGCGGACTTTGAGTATTTCCTGCCAAAGAGTTACAGCATTACCCCGACAACAGCCTCGTTTTCGATCACCAGAACACAAATTGCAATTGGCTGTTCCTTATCTGGAAATACAAAGTGCCTTTCAATGAGAGATTTAGCCAGGTCATGGCTTGGAAATACCATGAAACCGAGGCTTGAAACTCTTCTGGATGATATCTCACAGTTCGATTTTTATTATATTTCATCGAACTTATTATTCTATGACGTCATTCAACAAGCTATGAAAGACATGATGTTCGCCATTGGAAGTATGTTTTTCATATTCTGTTTTATGACATTCCACACGCGCTCCTTGTTCGTTTCCGGTTTAGCTGTTATGAGTATTTTGACTAGCTTTGCTGGGACCAATTTGATATACAGATGTATAATAGGATTTGAATATCTCGGGTTCTTTCATGTTTTAGCAATATTTATTATCTTGGGTATAGGAGCAGACGACTTGTTTGTCTTCTATGACTCGTGGCGGTTGACAGCATTTTCAGGCTATCCATCACTCGGACATCGTCTCACAGAAGCATATTCTAAATCGTGTAAAAGCATGTTAATAACTTCCATCACTACGGCTGTCGCTTTCACGGCAAGTGCTTTATCCCCTTTGTTAGCAACAAAGTCGTTTGGTGTGTTTGCCGCCATCTTGGTTATCTATAATTATCTGTCAGTTATCATTTTCTTTCCAACAGTTGTTATGGTTTATCATATAAAATATGAAGACTGGACTTGGCCTTGCTGCCGGTGTACGAAAAAGACAAAAGGTGAAGGGGAATGCGCAGATAGCAAAACGGAAGTTGATCAGAGAAACTCGATGTCCAAAGTTGTACCTGAAAACGTGTATACAATCCAGTCGAATGACACTAAAGATCCTTCCAGTCCTATTAAAGGAGATTTTGTTCGCCCACCGGCTCGATTAAGTCCTATTAAAGCTAAGGAACTTTCGGATAAAAGTAAAGTTGAAAACGGCTACTCTACAAGTAGCGTTTTCCCACATGACAATAATAAAAAACCCATGACTACTGAGGAAAAACTTAACTCTCCTTGCTTTCCAAAAGCGAAACAAAAAGAAAAAAAGCTAGTGGTATTTTTCAGAGATCATTACTGGCGGTTTATAACATCAAAATGGACGAGAATTGTTCTGTTACCAGTTTTCATAGCAACAGTGTGTGTATTTGGCTATTTTGCCTCAACACTGGAACCAGACAATGAAAATGTAAGTAATAGTATTTGAATTTGTAAAATTTTCCTTATTACTTGTAAATTGTGTCATATATAATGACAAGAATGTGTAATATATAATGACACGAATGTGTCATATATAATGACACGAAGTTTTGCAAAATACTGTATTTCCCAAATTTTCAACTGAAATTAACAAATTATTTTTTATCAAACCATGCTCTGTCCCCTCATCGGATAACATGTCTGTGTCTTACAAACATTTTGATGTGACCCATTGATTTCTTACCGTTTGTATGTTTCTCTATTTTGAAACGATGTTGTCTGGCAGATTGTGATGGTATTTTTTCTTGACCGTCACAATCTGCATTTTGCCGATATGACCCGCACTTTCTTCAGTGCACTGATGTATAGCAAATAATTCTGCTAAAACTTTTGCTTGGGGTGTAAGCTTTTGGTTCAGGCTTATAATAAAGCTTCACTGTGTTACCTGTAAAATGAATGCGCGCAAATGTAATCCAAAAATATAGAGAGAACCATTTCCTGCCAAATTTTCAATTATTTATATTTTAAAAACAGTTATTGATAAGAACAAGAACACGTTAAATAATTGAAAGGGGGAGGAGGGGGGTCCATTCCCCAAGCGCCTGTGATTAAATTTAGAAAGGAATTTTAAAGACCGGTCAAAGCAAACCCTGAGATATGGCCGATAACTAACTTTAAACATTAAACTATACTAAGTACCTGACAACTATAAAGATCTTTAAACACCCCCAAAGAATAAATTCAATGTTGATGTGTATTCGCCAAGGTCGATTATAGCGTATCAAATGAGTTCACACAAACGTATTGTAATTTATTAGGAAAATAATTAAATCAATCTGTTGTGTAATTTAGGGTTTGAAACAAGTACTAACGTAAAATTGTCGATGTGGGACAAAATTCGTACCCCCTACTTTTGTGAAATGAAATTAAGAACAAGAGTTATTTTGTTTTACGATCGAGCGATTGCACTGTGAAAGCAATTAGCCACTTGGCATGCACCGACTTACATGTAGCGCACTTTTCATCTACACACAATCGATCAATGTCTATATTTTTCTTGACGTTTCATGTTGGGTATTTCATTAATAAAGAGACACGTAACCTTACCTTAAGTCTGACCTTCAAATATATAGGGCAAACTTCCGATTATGATTAACAATTACCTTATTCTCTTTTTTGATCGAAAATTTCCGTATTGTCTAGAAATCGAAAGGTCAAAGGGTGTACGTTCAAAGAGAACGTGCGGTTTTGTCAGGAAAAGTATTTTTTTGTTTTGATTTGGGTATGAATAATTATAGATACATTATAGGGTGTTGTCACGAGGGCGGATACGATTTTTACAAAGATAACTACTTTGAAGGTAATTAAAATTCGCAAATTCTATCTTATCAGATGAGTAAAAAAAAAATCGTCCATGGAACTTAAAATGTCCTTTGTTGTCAATCTTTACTGAAGAGAACACATCAATTAATTTGGCATTTAATATTGTAACACTGAAAAAAAGCGAGACAAATTTGCACTTGTTTATGTATAAACATTTTGTTTTATTTTATATTGATTGTTGTTTAATATCCAGTGGCAAATATTTCATACATATTCAGAACGTTGTTGATTGTCTGACATCCAGTGGAAAATATTTCATACATATGCAAGACGTTGATTATTTAATATCCAGTGGCAAATATTTCATGCATATTCAGGACGTTGTTGATTGTTGAATGTCCAGTGGCAAATATTTCATTATATATTCAGGACGTTTTTGATTGTTCAATATCCAGTGGCAAATATTTCATGTATATTCAGATTAATTTAATTTATTAAAAAAATATTTATATGTCCTTGAAATTGATATCTTGAATAATTTCCAGGACATTGAACCTAAAAAGTTATGTTAATATGTTTTATGCAAGGTTTTCCTTTTTGTTATCTGAGGCAAAATGTAGCTTGTTCCAGTCCTCCAAAATGTCTCTTTTATTCTGTGTATCATTATTGTTCCTAGTTTTTTTGTCGAGCCTGCGACTTTTGTCGCAGAAAGCTCGACATAGGGATAGTGATCCAGCGGCGGCGGCGTTAGCTAACTTCTTAAAAGCTTTATATTTTAGAAGGTGGATGACCTGGATGCTTCATATTTTGTATATAGATGCCTCATGTTACGAAGTTTCCGTCAGTCACATGTCCAATGTCCTTGACCTCATTTTCATGGTTCAGTGACTACTTGAAAAAAAGTTCAGATTTTTTGGAATGTTAAATTCTCTCTTATTATAAGTAACAGGATAACTATATTTGGTATGTGCGTACCTGGCAAGGTCCTCATGCCCGTCAGATAGTTTTCACTTGACCTCGACCTCATTTCATGGATCAGTGAACAAGGTTAAGTTTTCGTGGTCAAGTCCATATCTGAGATACTATAAGCAATAGGTCTACTATATTTGGTGTATGTAATGAGAGTAAGGGGTACATGTCAAACTGGCAGGTGTCATCTGACCTTGACCTCATTTTCATGGTTCAGTGGTCATAGTTTAGTTTTTGTGTTTTGGTCCTTTTTTCTGATACTGTTTGCAATAGGTCAACCGTATTTGGTGTATGGAAATATTGTACGATGTTCATGTCTGTCTGGTAAGTTTTATTTGACCTTGACCTCATTTTTACGGTTCATTGCTCAATGTTAAGTTTTTGTGTTTTGGTTTGTTTTTCTAATACTGTATGCAGTAGGTCAACTATATTTGGTGTATGGAAATATTTTACGATGTACATGTCAGTCTGGCATGTTTTATTTGACCTTGACCTCATTTTCAAGGTTCATTGCTAAATGTTAAGTTTTTGTGTTTTGGTCTGTTTTCCTAATACTGTATGCAGTAGGTCAACTATATTTGGTGTATGGAAATATTTAATGATGTACATGTCAGTCTGGCAGGTTTTATTTGACCTTGACCTCATTTTCATGTTTTATTACTTATGTTAAGTTTTTGTGTTTTGGTCTGTTTTTCTTACACTTTAAGCAACAGGTCAACTATATTTGGTGTATGGAATGATTGTAAGGTGTACATGTCTAGCTGGCAGGTGTCATTTGACCATGGCCTCATTTTCATGGTTCAGTGGTCAAAGTTAAGATTTTGAGTTTTGGTCTTTTTTTCTAATACTATATGCAATAGGTCATCTATATTTGGTGTATGGAAATATTTTATGATCTTTATGTCAGTCGCGCAGTTTTTATTTGACCTTGACCTCATTTTCACAGTTCATTGCTCAGTGTTAAGTTTTTGTGTTTTGGTCTGTTTTTCTTAAACTATAAGCAATAGGTCAACTATATTTGTTGTATGGAAGAATTGTTAGCTGTACATGCCTGCCTGGCATGGTTCATCTGACCTTGACCTCATTTTCATGGTTCATTGGTCAATGTTTAGTTTTCTTGGTTAATGTTAAGTTTATGTGACAGTTGTAAGAAAGCTTTATATTTAGGACTATCAACATAATATCAATGATTAGAAAAGAAGGCGAGACATTTCAGCGTGTGCACTCTTGTTTACCATTCGTAATTAGATTTTTGTTATCAATAATGTCCTTATTTTTTTATTTCTCCAAATAATGATAAGTACTGTGTCTCAGCTGCTCATCCCAACCACTCTGTTGAAAGAATTGAAGTTACCTCCCCTGAGTATAAATATAACTTCGATGTGTTAACTTATGCCGAGTTTTAATGGTTAGGTTGCCGAATCATTGGCGTATACCTCCACCTCCTCCTGTTCAAATTTCTATTTTTTTGTTTCGATACCATCATTTGGAAAGTTATGTGAAACTGGCAGAATCTGTTGCGACCGTTGTTTGCATTCCGGTATATATTAACTTTCTCAAAAACGTACATAGTCACAATTTTAGAAACCTAAAAGATAATTATGTAAATATATACAGGGACCTATACAATCAAAATGGTCATTGTAGAAATACGCAGACAGTTTCAGTGAATAATTTCATTGTTCATATACCAAAATGAAAATAACGCCATGCCATTGGCTGAACTTCCATGACATTGTTTAGTACATTTTTAACCAATCACAACGTTTAGTGTACGCCTTTGAGAAGATTACCCAGAATGCACTAGATTCTCAACAGTTTTCAAGTTTTTACTGTTTTATTTGGCTAAATCAGTACTCTAGGTTGCATTTCTGTAAATATAGACAATGCAATTTCCCATAGGAACTCCCTTTACGGCTAAAACTGTGCCACTTTTACTATGAAGTTTCGTGAATTTTTTTTATCCTAGAATGGAAAGTTGATATGCACTACTATTTTATTCAAAGGTCAAAACATAGGGCTGTGTGGCATATTTTCAACATTTATATGCCCCGAACTTCTAAGAGTTTAAACTTAAACTTAAGTTCTGTACTACCCCTACCTTCACTTTAGGTGACCCTCAGAATTTAAAATTCCCTGCAACAATGTGTAAATATACTGGTAACAATCCCAAGTTATCATGTCTCTATGAGGTGAAACATAGAGATCATATCTGGGAACCAGTACGTAAACAAACAAAATATCTATGAATATTATATATCTGCCCAAAAGAGGCGTGGTTAGTGAAAAAGCTGTATTTACAAAGTGCAACCTCTAAAATACTGCTTACACATAAAGATCTGAAAGAACAATTACATCAGGTAATTTTTCCTTCATTTTGATTGGTAGAAAACAAACACGTGGTATTTTAAAGACTAGTGATGTTTTATTTCCCCATAAACCTACCTTAATATTAGGTTTCTTGTTTATTTGTTCTCGTCCTGAATTTACATGGAATATTTGCTACTGGACGTTAAGCAATCAATATGACATATAGTGCTCGCTATGACAAAGTTACAACAATAGATAAAAATATATGAAACAAAACACATGTTTACTTCATTTTCTTGGTTTTAACGAAAACATATAAATATATTGAGTTTTATTTTGTTTATTCTATGCGCTCATTATTTGTGCTTCAAACAAAATGAGCTTCGATTGTTCAGCGCTTTCATACCAAACCGAAAAATTACTAAAACGAAGCATGCAGTTCTTAATGTTTTAATCAAGATATAATTCATTAAATTTTTTTGTAGATATATATAATAACTGTCATTTAATATTTTTATGTCGTAAAACGATATTTAATGCATTATATCGGTGGTTAAATAAGTACCATCTTTCCATTTGGTATATAAGTTTTTTTTTAAATCTTGATAGGAAATTCTGCTAGAAAAATGCATTAGAATTTTTTTCAAAAGTACACGTATGGTTCAATCAACTCAAGTTGTATTTATCTTAATATCTAAAAGTAGGTTTTTTTTTTATTAAAATCAATATGATTAGATAGAAGTTAATGTAGTGTACAGGTTATTGCAGCTTTGATTTTAATATGAATTGAAATTATGTTCATTTGGTATTGAAGAGGAGCTGGCTGGGGTGTACAGAATAAAGATTAATGGACCAAAAATTAAAAAAAATGAGAAATTGGACCTAAACAATAAAAAGAATAGATAAAAATGGCCTAAAATTAAAAATTATAGAAATGTACTAGAAGGCACCCCATCTGCACATTCGTGTACAGTACAACCCACTCTAGTCGTATCATATCTATAAGAAACGTTCACAAGGTCGACTGGGGAATAGAAATATGGTCATTTTGGCCTTCTTCCGACCGGCAGTAAAACCCTTGCCAATCCGGCCAACGAGGGGCGTCCGTTTAGGTGTGCGGTATAAATAAGTACGCAGTCACGTTCGGTTAGAATGGGGACGTTAAATCCAACGCCTCGTGGAGAGAGAATGCACGCCAGGAACCATTGCATCAATTCTATGGTTGTCCCGTAGGTGGCCTATTGCAAGGCAATATTTCTGTCCCTTTCCAATATACCCTCATTTCCAAACGACAGTCCAAATTTCCCCGACGTCCATCCCTGACGGCCTCTACTACAGGGCCTACCTTTTGTATATTTTTATTGTTAATTTGTTCTCGTCCTGAAATTCATGAAATATTTGCCACTTGACGTTAAATAATCAACATGACATTTCGTGCTCGCTATGACAAAGTTACAATAATATATAAGAATATATGAAACAAAACACATACATGTAAAGTATGAGTTAAGTTCATTTTCCTGGTTTTAACATAAACATATAAAGATAAAGATCGAAAAGTAACGGCATGTAAATAGATAGAACCACACCTTGTGTAATTGCGGTTGAGATTTTCATATGATGATCATATGTTATTTAAGACAGACATGAACTTTTCACTGGTGATTAAACCATCTTGAAGCCAAGTAATTGTTAAAAGTACAGTCGATAACCCAACCATAATCCGATAATTTGATACATTCACTTCGTATAGCATCACCGTCAGTACCATTTTACCTTAATATCTACTTATATCTATCTAATTACTAAACGGAGGAAGCAACTGTTGGAAACAATGGCCGTTAACATGTTATCTAAATTTCTTGGTGACCAATGGTTGACAGCAAATTAGATCCACACAGACAGCTTGAAAATAAATGTAAAAGATGTGGTATAATAAATAGCTAAAACCATTCAGATCCTCATTAAAGATAGATCTGAAACTTCACCGTTGATTGAACCATATACAAGTTCTTGTCAAAAGTACATTAGATATATATAACAAGGACAATATTGTTATTATATATAACGTTCGCATTTCACTTCGCAGAGCATCACTAGTATCTAAATGAATATCTACTTAATTACTGAATGAAAGAAGTGTTTTGTCAGTAACTGTTTGAAACAATGGCGTAAACATGTTATCTAAATTTCTTCGTGACAAATGGTTGACAGCAACAAATTAGATCCACTATGTAATTAAAAAAATAAGGAAATGTGGTTAGACTGACGACTGATGCCCCCTGACTTGTTGCCTACGCTCAAGATATAACGATAAGATTTAAGACAGATTTATCAGTCTATATATGTGGTATGATTGTCAATGTGAAAACTATCCAACAGCGACCAAGAGGTAAACGTGGGGACAGTCATTCAAACCTTAATAAACAGAATAAGAATATTTGTTTTCCAATTAAAGGGCCTTATAAAGAGCTTTTATCACATAACATACAAATACATAAGATTCGACATCAATTGAGAAACATAAAAGAAAACAACACGGTTTTACAATAACTGTTATATAAGGCCAGAACCAGATAATACATATAACATCTATGAAATATACCACTCAAAATTAGTATATGTATGACTAATTTGCAGTTATTATCTTTGGACTTTTCCTTATTTCCAGAGTTTTTAGATAAACACTTTCCCAAACATTTATATACTTCTAAATTTTCTTGTGTAAATAGCCATGTAAACTTCGAAAGATTGTCTTAAAATTGAAAATTATTGCAGGATAATGAAATTTCAGTAAAAAACTCAGTTCTATTATCAACATATAGTGGGCATTCAGTCCCAAAGTGTATCTCATTCTCAACTTTATTCAATGTACAGTATAAATATTTTCTAAGTGATCTATTCACATAAATTTTTGCATATCTATCAGTCTCAATCCTTAATCCTAAACACAATTGGAGCCAGGGGCGGATTTTCGAAAGGGGATGTAATTGCCGAAAAGATAATACATACCGCCGAGCGGAGCGAGATGAAACATTTTTTTTGGACGATTTATGCTTAAAATTCATATAAATTGTGAGAATCATGAGCCTTTTCTTTCTTTTTGGCAATCTAAAGGGAGGAGGGCGTACGCCCTCATCGCCATACCCTGGACCCGCAACTGGGAGCTATATAAGCAGTACTGTATTATATACAAGATTAGCTTGAACCATTTATGTTTAACAGTACATATACATCCAGTGCGGTCAGTTCGATTTGGCTTTGAAAAAATTATGTTTCTTCTTCAAAAACACAGTTGCGGATCAAGGATTTTAAAAGGGGTCGAACTAAGACAATGCTATGAGTGTGACTTTTAAAAAGTCTATGCATTAACCGTAATATAAATAGCTCCATAAAATGGGGTCATTGATATGATAAATATGTAAATTAAATAAAAAGAAAATAATATTAAATGTATGCCTAATTGTTATTTTATTTAAAGGGTTACGGTCCTTTTTGATCTTGATAGAAACATTTGATTGTCCCATAATCTGCCCTAATATTTAGTCTATTTTGCATAATATTAAAAAGTATCTATATCTTATTGTCGATTACTTATATTGATTTATCATGTCATTATGTATATCTGATTTCAATGGCTTGATAAAGTGTAGGACTTCATGATTTCAATGGCTTTATAAAGTGTAGGATTTCATGATTTTCAGTAATGATTAAATTTATATTAGGAACATATCTCATTGTAGCTGTAAGCATTTATATGATATGGCCGTTACATACATTGATATAATTTCAATAGAAAGAAAAAATCATCTTACACAGCTCATCAAAGTAAATTCACTTAACAGAGTAAAGAGATACCAAGAATGATTTTATTTTAAGAACTATGACCAATTTTCTCTCTGTTTGTTTCATTCACAAGGTCAAAATCAGATTGCGTTCGAAACCGAATTTGAATAATAACATACTTTAAAAATATCCAAACAATTAACAGATATTCCTAAAATCACAAAGTGCAATTCAATCTGTTGACAATTTTGATACGATACTGTCAAATTCTAAACGTTTTCTTCACATCACTACATATAAAATTGAATTATTTACCTTTTTGCACGTATATATATAGGTGACCGTGTATTGAGGCTTTATTTCAATTGTTTTGACGTTATGGATCACACAATGTTTTATTTTTTATACGCCCGTCAAAATTTTGACGGGACGTATTATGGTATACAAATGTCATCTGTCCGTCTGTCCGTCTGTCCGTCCGGCGTAAACATGTCGCACCGTAACTTGAGAACGACTTATCCAAATTACATGAAACTTAAAATAGTTGTTTCTTATGATGGTCAAACGATCTGTATACATTTTGGTGAAAATAAGATTAAAACTTTTTGAGTTACGGGACTAAGTAACTAAAACAGGTGTGTGTTTTTTTCACATGTCGCGCCGTATCTCAAAAACAATTTATGATTATTGCTTAAAACTTTACACACTTCTTAGTTATATTAATCTTAAGATCTGTATACTTTTTGGTGATGATTCGAAATTTTTTTTTTGAGTTATTGAGTATTTTGTAAAAAAAGGGGGAGGGTTTTTTCACATGTCGCGCCGTATCTCAAAAACGATTTATGATTATTGCTTAAAATTTACACACTTCTTAGTTATATTAATCTAAAGATCTGTATACTTTTTGGTTTTGATTCATAATTTTATTTTAGAGATATTGAGTTTTTTGTAAAAAAAAGGGGGGTTTTCGCATGTCGCGCCGTATGTCAGAAACTATTTGCATAAAAATTCACACACAAGACGACGGGCGTATCATGCGCTCATGGCGCAGCTGTTTATTGTTAAATGGTGAATTATTTAGATTGGTAATAGCAAAAGATAAATCCTTACTTTCTGTGTGAATAAATAATAAAAAAAGACAGAAATGACGAAAATGATAGAAATGCACACCCACATACGTCTATGCAAAAGCATATAAGTAACCCATGGATTTTATATATTGAAAGCAATCAAATATGATTTCAGGAAATATACTTGGTATTTTATGGCAATTTACAATAAAACAGGACACACAAAACAACAGTGAAAAGTTTACATGGATGGGCAATATAGCGGGGCTCCCATAAGGGTACCCCTTAGGTCACAAGTTACCTCGGGTCACCAAATATGTGAAAGTAAATCTCAATTAACCCAAATTCATTGATTAATCAGAAGGCATTAATTGTAAATATGTGATAGTAAATCTCAATTTACCCAAATCTATTGATTAATCAGAAGGCATTAATGGTAATACGTGCGTGATTTCTCTTTCAGTTACAACTTTTCCAAGACGATCACCATTACTCCAAAGCCCAGTATGCACAGGAATACTCTATGTTAGTCAGCACAGCCGACAGTTTGGTCCAAATCCACGTGGTTTGGGGACTAAAGAACAAGGATCGTAGCCACTGTCACTTTTCTTCTATACAATGTGGTGGCAATAACGTATATGACGAGGATTTTGATCCAAATTTAGTGACCAATCAGCAGGCGTTAATGGTAAATATGTGATAGTAAATCTGAATTTACCCAAATCCATTGATTAATCAGAAGGCATTAATGGTAAATATGTGATAGTTAATCTCAATTTACCCAAATCCATTGATTAATCGGAAGGAATTGATGGTAAATATGTGATATTTGATCTCAATTTACCCAAGTCCATTGATTATTCAGAAGACATGAATGGTAAATATGTGATAGTGAATCTCGATTTATCCAAATCCATTGATTAATCAGAAGACATCAATGGTAAATATGTGATAGTAATTCTAAATGTAATATTAAAAAAAAAAAATTGAAGATATAGCCGAGGTCTTTTTCACCTGTCTTTAAATAAAAAACTCGACGTTTAGAATTTGAAAATAACATTTTTATCAGAATAGTTTTTTGCAAGGCTTTATTTACGTACAGACATGATGTTACTCGCACTTAATGAGGCATCCGATTTAACGTTCTTATTCCGACCGAAGGTATTCATATATCACACACAATAATTGATTTGTTTGTTTGTTTGTTTTGTTTATTGAGAGATTGGATTGAGAAAGAAAGTGAAAGATATAGAGATAAAGAGACAGAGAGACAAAGAGCGATATAGATAATAATGACGGAAATCATTTCTTTTAAACTTGTCCGAGTATTATAGTAATTTTGATTGGTTGTTTGTTATAGACTTTCTGTGACAGACTTTATAACATGACAGCAGCAGAAATACAGAAGTACAAGATACGAACAGATTCCACCACAGGTCAGACAGAGGTGGCGTGTTTTACTAAGAGTTTAGATACATTTCTACAAGTAAGTATATGGCTTACCATACGGTATGGGTCTTGCTCATTGCTGAAGGTCGTATAGTGTCAGACCTTTATTTAATTCGATGTCATTTCGACTCTAGTTAATAATAGCCTCATTGGCAATTAATACCTCTTGGCGAGAGAGTGCCTCGCTCTCTGCACGTCAAGAACCATTGCAACAACTCTTAATTTCAGTTCCCATAAAATCTACACTAATATTTCAGAAGCAGTCCAATAACCCGCCATTCATTCCGGTCGAACCCGTTTATAGGGCCTTTCTATTGTATATAGTATTAATCTGTTCTCGTCCTGAAGATGCATGAAATATTTGTCACTGGACGTTAAGCAGCCCAAAATCAATCAACCAATCATTAGCAATCATAACACATCTTATTTTATAAAGTAACCAAAAGGTCGGGAAGGGGTTTACAGAATAGTGAAAATGGGCCAACATATAAAAGGAGCAGAGAATACTGGGTTTCTTAAATATAAATAATAGAAAATAATGGGCAAACAAACACGGAATGACTTATATATTAATAAATCTCCTTATTTTCAAACATGGTCAAGGTCAAACAGATTTCTAGTGCCTTCATGGAGTGTTACTGATACTGGCACGGACCACCATCATCATCAAAACCTAAAACATCATCAAAGAATAATAACATTTTTCAAATCTTTGCTTTTTCTTTTTTTTATAAAGTTCGTATAACCTCCAATACATTTGTTTGTTTTACATGCATGCTCATAATATTATTATATATGTTTCAAATGATATTTTATTGGGTGTCTTTTTGTGTTGTAATGTTATACCACTGTTTCAGGTTAGGGTGAAGGTTGGCGCCTGTTAAAACGTTTAAACCCGCTGCATTTTCATGCACCTGTTCTACGTCAGGAGCCTGTTGTTCAGTGGTTGTCGTTTATTGGTGTGGTTCACAAGTGTTTCTCGTTTCTCGTTTTTTATATAGATAAGACCTTTGGTTTTCCTGTTTAACCACTAGTTTTACACTAGTCTTTTTGGTGACCTTTATAGCTTGCTATTCGGTGTGAGTCAAGGCTCCGTGTTGAAGGCCGTACTTTGACCTATAACTGTTTACTTTTTATTACACATTGTGTCTTGGATGGATAGTTGTCTCATTGGCACTCATACCAGATGTTCTTATTTATATCATATTGTATTATGTAGAAGACTTCAGAATAGAAAAGAAAGGATATGGGGTATCGATTCATGACACAAAATCAGTACATGAACAACAGAACACAAAAAAACACAACACAACAACAAAGGAACAGCGCATTTATTGCTGTTCTTCAGCTCATAAGAATGATTTACTTGTGTCTCGCCCATTTCGTTTAGATTAAGCCAATAAAATATGTTTAAACTAAACAATACAGAAACCGAGACACCTCATGCAGACCCTCTGATATTGAAAAAAAAACAAAACAAAATTGATAAAAACTGAATAACCTGTTTGCACTGAAAATAATTTGTCATGATTTGTGAACGTTGACCCTTGTTTCATATTACCGCAACTAATCTAACATACTGATACTACAGTATTATGAATTCATTTATGAATTTAAAATGATGTTTTTTTCTCAGATTTTACCGATAAAGATACATTAATTTTTTTGTAATAGTTATAAATAAATTTTGGTTTTTGTGTTTTTTTTTACATATTTAAATTACTGAATATTTAAAGGCTACATGACAAAGTGACATCTATGAATTTATTGTCTTTTAGTTGAAATCATCTGACATTGGTATATGAGAATTATAACTACCCTGGCAGTTTCAAATTATTGAATATCTATTGTCAATCTGACAAAGAAACATCTATGAATTTATTTTGTATTCAGTAGAAATCATCTGACATTGGTATATGAGACCGTTCACTACTCTGGCAGATTCAAACTATTGAATATTTATTGTCAATGTGATACGGTAAAATCTATGAATTTATATTTTGTCTTCAGTCGAAAACAGCAGACATTTGTATATGAGACCCATCACCACCCTGACAAATACAAATTATTGAATATTTATTGTCAATCTAACAAAGTAAAATCTAAAAATGTACCTTATTTTCAATAGATGAAATCCTCCGACAGTAGTATATGAGACTTATAACTACCCTGGAAGATTCAAATTTTCTTTTCGAATATTTATTGTCAATCTGACACAGTAACATCTATGAATTTATAGTTTGTCTTCAGTCGAAAACAGCAGAAAGTGGTACATGAGACTTGCCAATACTCTGGCAGATTAAAATTATTGAATATTAATAGTCAATCTGATACGGTAAAATCAATGAATTGATATTTTGTCTTCAGTCGGATACAGCAGACATTTGTATATGAGACCCATCACCACCCTGGCAAATACAAATGATTGAATATTTATTGTCAATATGACACAATAACATCTATGAATTTACATTTTGTCTTCTGTCGAAAACATCAGAAATTGGTACATGAGACTTGCCAATACCCTGGCAGATACAAAGGATTGAATATCTATTGTCAATATGACACAGTAACATCTATGAATTTATATTTTGTCTTCTGTCGAAAACAGCAGAAATTGGTACATGAGACTTGCCAATACCCTGGCCGATACAAATGATTGAATATTTATTGTCAATATGACACAGTAACATCTATGAATTTATATTTTGTCTTCTGTCGAAAACAGCAGAAATTGGTACATGAGACTTGCCAATACCGAGACCGTTCACTACCCTGGCAGATTAAATTATGAAATATTTATTTTCAATCTGAAAAGGCAACATTTATAAATTTATATTTTGTCTTCAGTCGAAATCATCTGACATTGGGATAGGAGACTTGTCACTACCCTGGTAGATTAAAATTATTGAATATTCATAGTTAATCTGAAAAACTCTATAAATTTATTTTGTGTCAGTCAAAAACAGAAGACATTGGTTTAGGAGACTTATAACTACTCTGGCAGATTAAAATTATTGAATATTTATAGTCAATCTGATACGGTAAAATCTATGAATTTATGTTTTTTTTAGTCGAAATTAGTAGACCTTTGTAAAGGAGAACCATCACTACCCTGGCATATGAAAATTATTGAATATTATTGAATATTTATTGTCAATCTGATACAGTAGCATCTACCCACCACTACGCTGGTATATTCAAATTTTTGAATAATAGTAAATCTGACAAAGATACATCTATTCATTTATTTTGTCTTCAGTCGAAAACATGCTATTGGTATAAGAGACTTATAATAACCCATACAGATTAAGATTATTGAATATTTATTGTCAATCTGAAAAAGCTTCATGTATGAATGTATTTTGTATTCAGTCAAAAACAGCAGAAATTGGTTTAGAAGACCCATCACTACCCTGGCAGATTCAAATACTGAATATTGTTAATCTAACAAAGATACATTTAGTAATGTGTTTTTTCTTCAGTCGACATCATCTGACATTGGTATTTTAGACCATGGCAGGTCCAAATTATTGAATATTTATAGTAAATCTAAAAGGCTACATCTATGAATTAATATTTTGACTTTAGTCGAAATAATCTGACATTGGTATATGAGATTTGTCACTAACATGACAGATTCAAATAATTGAACATTTATAGTCAATTTGCCGATTAGAATATAAGTTTTTTTGGCATATTTAAATTATTGAAATTTTAAAGTCAATCTGACAAATTTACATCAATGAATTTATTTGGTCTTCAGTCGAAAACAGCAGACATTGGCATTGGAGACTTGTCATTACCATGGGACTATACAAAGACTATGAACTTTATGAATGCTCTACCGTCTCATTACGACACATCGTCCTTCACAACAGATTTCAAAGACTTCTTGGCAGTAAGTTGAAATATAATTTATAATACTCCTCTCTAGAAGTGGGGGCTAAATTGCAACCACCTTGTCCGTCTGTTTGTCTGTTCGCCCAACAAATATTTTCGTCACACTTATTTTTTAGAAACTACACAACCATTTGATGAGTTGTAACGATATTTACAAAGTTGAAGAGCATTGAAAACCAAATACTACAAAAAAAGTTGTGCCAAATCTAGCTACGGTTACCTATGCCAAGGGGTAGGAAAACCTTAGTGTTTCGAATAATTTTAACATTTCAATAACAATACATTAATAGAACATTACATATCAATTAGATTTCATGTTAGTTCAGCAGCGCTGACTACTGTGCTGATAATTTCATTTTGAAAGAAACGTATATCAGTGGTTGTATAAACTCACCAAAGATACCAGGCTTATAATGTAGGTTGTTTGCGTTCGAAAGTTTGAATTGAAATCTATCGAACTTTGTGACATTGTTGAAGCAACTGAAGTTGAAGTTGCAAAAGTTTCGGAGCTAGAGACAACTACTTTGGAACTTCCGCACGTTGAACAGAAGACAATAATCGCTGGTGCAACAGAGGCAGTTAGCGTCCGACAATGGTACCATTTGAACAAAGTGACATTCAGTTTGATACGTCTAACAGTATTGATGCGATCAATAATGACGAACCTAGAGTTTCAACATATACTGAACTGCGGCCAAGCTTAGCGAAAGGTCGTGCAACAATAATCAGTCAAACAAACTTTATTAGATTAACTCGTTAAGGAACGATCGTTTTCATTGGTCAATTCAAACCTTCGACCTCACACCTGCGAAAATAGAACACGCGTACTATAAAGCTGAATGGACTGATCAGTATTCACGTAGCCGATCAAGGTCGTTAAAAACTTCCATCGTCATATTCACGTACATGATTGTGTTCTTGATTATCCCATGGCAATTCTAGCTTTTATACATGTGCATGTAAAATTTTAAACTTTAATCTTAACAGTCACGTCGAAATATTTAATTCAACTGTCTCCTCTCAATTGGTTCTGGATTAAGGGAGCTACCATTTTATTTTGATTGGGGGTGGGGGACTTGGAAGAAACATTTTGTCCTGCATTTTTTTTAGTTGTTATCTCTGTCCTGTCTTTCTATTTTTCAGTCTGTTAGGTCCTGACTATATTTATTAGTTTATCCTGATTTTTTTACATAAATCGTCATCCTGCCTTTTTTTTGTCAAGTTGCCTTATCTTTTATTCAATGGACTTGATGAATTAACGTTGTACTTGAAATGAAACCGTACTTAACTACACAAATAACCAAATTACATACTAAAGATATTGCTCGATTTTTATAGTAAATGGGTTTGTGTTATAAACTGTCATGTTCATTATTCATATTCTTTCATAAGTTTAAGGATAGTGTGATTTTTTTTCTGATTTAGTTTACTTGATTTTGAAAAAAAAATCCCGAAATTCTAAGTAAATTCAGAACATGTAACCAGCCATGCTTTGTTTAGAGAAAAAATGGAGATGGCAAACCATGGCACAGTGGAAGGAAATGTACTTTATAAACTCCAGCGATATACTTTCTTAATTTATAATTAACTGTTTTGCTATCCTCGGTTGAAAATTATATATTGTAAATATTTAAATAGTTGCATAGAAAACAATCAGTTTTAAACAGTGTGGTTATTCACTAAATGTATTGATAAAAGGTGACTCCATTTTTGTACATACTTTTACAGTAGTCATCCTTAATTTCTTAATATTTCGATTATAAGTTTATCATACATGTATTTCATTTTAATACGCACGCATGCCACACGTTACTTTGGCGGATAGTTCAACAATGTTATGCAAAGCTCTATTCTTACGGTATGAAATTAAAGGATAAATTTTCAACCAATTAAAATCGAAAACAGTACATTTATATAGTTCCTTATAAACTACGACATTTCTCACAAGTATTTATTTATTTTTTAGTTCCACACATGCAAAAATAAAATCTTCGCCGATGAAACATTTCAAACCTTTTTACACCAACATGCCTTCACTGAATTCATTTGAATTTCGTGGTGACCATGATAGTACATTGCATAGTACATCTATATTCACGTGCACACATGATACGATCTTTCGGGGACAATTTGCTCGTTTATGACACGTCATTTCTGAATGACCAAACGCTTAGCTACTTTATTTTCGTTTTATAGCATGAAAACAATAAAAGAGGAATGTGCAACCCATCATAAATTTGAAATGGATCAGTATTATGAGATCCTTATTATAAGTAACTACGACATTGTCAGGATAATAACCTAGCGTCAATATGAAAGAAATTAAAGTGGTTCATACATTCATCCGTATAAAAGCGGCACATGTATTTTAGTTTATCCTTATATTTTTCATAGTGCGGTACAAGTGCTGCATGCATAAAGAATATTACTTAACACAAATTATTAGTATAATATTTCGACCCCACTATTTGAAATTCGCAAAATACTTATTTAATTATTTCGACCAAAAATCATTGTTTTTTACGTTCGTAGTAACGTAGTACATTCCATTGTCGGTCACCTGTGTCAATTCACGTGCAACGTGACTACAATTGTTGTTATATTTAAATCTTTCGGCCAATGAAATTAGACGTTACAAGTTGTTTGTTTGTGATACGCCAGAATGTTATCAATGAATTATCAATCGCTAAACTTGACTGCATTTCAGTGTATACTGATGTATCGACACCCGTATATGATAAAGGACTTCCGATATAATGAAAGTTTATGTGGAAATGACAAGTTAACGCCAGACACGTGGTTCGTCTACTATGGAATTCAGGCTTCGATACCGCTGCTGGTTGACTATCAGTCCCCGAGGGTATCATCAGCTCAGTAGTCAGCACTTCGGTACTGACATGATTTATTTTAAACTTTCTTCTGAAACATATAATTGTCAGTTTATTAAATTCAGAAATTCTTGGGAATCTAAGAGGTTTTAACTCCCTCAGTCAAAGTTGACCTTAGATGGATTTGGTTATTATTTTTTGGTCCTTCTTAGTCATATAGCTGTTAAATCGACTGTTTCGGTTCTTATATATCATTTGCTTTCAAATATTCAGCATTGAACATTTCTGATGAAGGTAAATCCAGAAAAGCGCTTCGGATGCATGGAATTAATAACGTGTTGTTTTCATGGTTTTCGTAAGCATGAAATTTATAAATTAAAGTGTTGTTTTTATTTTTTATTGCAGATACCTGTAGGATACTGGCTTTACAACGAGTTTCAGAAGAATTACACGGCCGATTTTGGACATTATGATGCCCTGATTGGTGAATATAAAAACACAAGTGGATTTACACAACAGCTTTTGTCAGATTCTTGTAAGCTAGTTTCCATAGTTACTGTTATTGAATTAAAAAGGGGAAACGGGAATGCGCAGAATGACTCGGAATAAAGGGAACCACGATGAACGCGGAAATAAACTTTTGTTATCCAGTTTCGAACTAAGATACAGATGATATAGGGTCTGGGTGGGGTTTACAAAATAGAGAATAATAGGCAAAAATGCATAATAAAGGTAAATAATATAAAGATTAGAGAAAAAAGGTAAAAAAATAAAGAACAGAATAATTGGGTGCTAAAATATAAAGAATGGAGAATACGGGTTAAAATAAATAAAGAATAGAGAAAAATGGTTTCAAGAGTTAAAGAATAAAGAAACAAGAAACCCCGTATCCAGACCCTCATGATAGGGTTAACAGGATCGTTACAAGACCAGAATGATTTTTGTCGCTATGTGAGTAGCTTTGATAATCGTTTAGTCTCTTAAATTACAAGTACAATCAAATCAATCGCAATAACACTTGAAACATATATTTGTCCGGGTTTAAAACAGTATATATAAAAGCCGATGATATATTGTGTGTTAAAAATATATTTAAAAAGAAAAGCAATTCACCAAGCTTTTGTTTGCTTTGTAATCAAGCGTTTGTCAATGGTACTCAATTGGTGTCGAAGATTTCCAGCTGTATGTTTCTGAAATAACTTTCTTGATTTTATCTTCAAAATATTTTAGCAAGTGGTTCTCTTTGGTTGTTATCTGACATAAACACGATATCGTCCGCTTTTCCATGGTTTGTTACGGTTATCTCATTTCTTGTAAATGCATATTGACTACTCCAACATTTTAATTTTGCTCAATGTCTCTATAAATACGGTCCAAAATGATTTAAATATTACTTGAAACATATTTGTTCCCATGTTATTCTTATAGGCAGTGATATCTCCGAGGTTAGAACAAATTTTTTTTTAAAAGAAACAAACTTTCCACCAACCATTTATTTGACTCTAAATAAATATTTTATTATTAAAGAAAAGCACATTTATACCCGAGGGGTTGGAGGCGAATAATACAATGATATACACAATGTAAAAATATTAAAACATCATATACCAATAGTAAAATACACTAATGATAGTTATGGAGGTACGGTATTCATTCTCCTCGGCGCAAATGATTCTTTATTGAACGAAACAATAAGCTGCATAATATTAAATGATGATAGAAGTAATTGCAATCTATCTTTTTTTGGAATGAATCCATAAATTTTTTGGATGAATATTGTTTATGTCATTTTATGTAAGTGTTTGTTATTTGTGGTCAATTAGTTTCAAAAGGACTCCAACAGAGTATTTCTATAATGAATATTCATGATAGGAGAACATGTTTGGAAAAGTACATATGGAAACACAACAAACGGAATAGCAAAACCTCGTAACGAAATTCCTTTCTCAGTTCTCAGTATATATTGGCATGAAGTGAATTTCAACTAGTGTGTTTTAATGATCATCCCTTTTTCTTGTACATCAAATGTTTGAAATAATTTTCTAGGTTTTCCAAGAATTAGTTATAATGTAAAAAAAGTCCCACACAAATACTTTTGTGGATTTACGAGGTTTGAACATCGAACTTCAGTTTATGACCCATTGATTTTTAACATTCCAAGCTTCCCTAAGCCTACCCAGTAACCGAGTTAATCTTATAGTCATAAACATTACAAGAACAATCAATTCAGTTGAAATAACATTTGAAACACAGGTTTAAAACAGTAAATCTTAAAGACGCTGTTAAGTTCTACGGGGTAAAAAAGTAAATTTAAAAATAAAGCAAAACCCCTTCCTTATATTTGATTATTAAGTGTTTGTCAATGGTTCTCAATTGATTTCAAAGATTTCAAGCAGAATATTTTTGCAATAAATTTCTTTATTGTAACTATCTTCAAAATATTTTGACAAGATGTTGTTTTTCGTTGCCGTCTGACATAAACATGATGTCGTGAGGTCGACACGCAAAGCAATGAATGTGGTTTTTAATTTGATAGATGCTTTTGTGCTTTTTTGTAAATAATTGTTTGTTTTGATATTGTAACACAGTGATGACTGCTGTACCCATATTTTGACTATTTTATTTATAATGTCTGTTTTGTTCACGCATCGTTGTAAATATAACGGAATTTGATAAGACTGTCGTACAAGTGAGAGGTTTAGCGCTATAAAACCAGGTTCAATCCACCATTTTCTACATTTGAAAATGCCTGTACCAAGTCAGGAATATGACAGTTGTTGTCCATTCGTTTGATGTGTTTTGTCATTTGATTTTGCCATGTGATTAGGGACTTTCCGATTGAATTTTCCTCGGAGTTCAGTATTTTTGTGATTTTACTTTTTCCAATGGTTTTTCGTCTTATTCTTGTATTGGCCTATGGACTTCTTTAACAATTCTATTTTGCCCTATGTCTCTTATCAATAAAGTGAAATCGACTTAGATAATACTTGAAACATATTTGTTTCCTGGTTTAAAACAGTAAATCTTTAAAATACCATTGATAACACCGGGATTAGAACAATAAATTTTAAATTAAAACCCACTTTCTACCAACCTTTTACCTGACTCTAAATAAATTGGTTGTTGTTGTTACTCAATTACTTTGAAAAGTACTGCAGCAGTGTGTTTCTAGAATGCCTATTCATGTAAAAGGGAAGGGGGTTAGGAAGGGATATCATCCCGAATTCCCGGGAAAATAAATGTTGAATAAGAATATAAAGCATTCTCTTCTGGATCCTGGAAAATTAATCATTAATTCTCGAATCCCAATAAGTGTAAATCAAGAATTTACGCAAAAAAAAAGATCCAATCAAGACGTTTCGGAAAAACAGTCTTCTGCTTCTCATGTGAGGAGAAAATGTTTCGAAAAGTAGATAAGGAAACATAAATACGAAATATCAGACGTCAACGTCAATTTATTAGATAAGCTAAAAACAGAGATGACGAAATCCCGTGACGACATTCCTTTCTCGGTATATATCGGCAAGACGTAGTTTTTAATATCCCTTTCCTTGTTCATCATATTTTTGAAAATAATCGTCTAAGTTTTTCCAAGAATTTGTTATGAATTGAAAAAAGTTCCACACGAAATACTTTCGTGGATATACGAGGTTTGAACATTGGAAAACTTCAGTTTATGACCAATATAGATTTAACATTACGACTTCCCCTATTTTAGTAGCTGTGGTTATCTTTTAATCACTAACTTTGCAAGTACATTCAAATCAATTGAAATAACACTTGAAACATATATATGTATTCGGATGGGTATAAAACAGTAAATCTTACAGACATTGTTGAGATCTACAAGATTAAAAAGTAAATTTGAAAAGAAAATAAAACCCATTTAAATAAACTCATCATAGATACCTGGATTGAAATTTTGTATTTGCGCCAGACGCTCGTTTCGTCTACAAAAGACTCATCAGTGACGCTCGAATCAAAAACCAATTCTTCTATTTAATTATTAATTAAGTGTTTGTCAATGGTTTTCAATTGGTTTTACAGAATTCCAGCAGTATATTTCTGGATTAACTGTCTATATATGAGGAGGAAATATATTTGAAATGTGAATAAAACTATATGTTTGGGGATATGTCATGGTTTAAAACAGTACATCTTAAAGACATTGATATATAGGGTTAAAAATTAATTTCAAGAAAGTCAATTTCAACATAGCGTTTATTTTATAAATCAAGTGTAATCAAATCAATTGCAAATAACACTTGAAACATGCATAATGCATATTAAAACAGAATTTTTATATTTACCTATGGACTTCTCTATCATTTCGATTTTGCTATATGTCTCTATAGATACAGTGAAATCGATTTAAAGAATACTAATACTTAAACATAATTGTTTCCGGGTTTAAAACAGTAAATCTTTAAAAACAATGATATCACTAGGATGAGAAAAATAAAATAAAAAAAATCCTATATCAACCAACCTTATATTTGAATATAAATCAAGTGTTCTTAATTAGTATTCAATTAGTTTCAAAAGTATTCCAGCAGTGTAGTTCTATAATGACTATTTATGCAAGGAGAAAATGTTTTCAAAAGTACACAAGGAAACACAAAATACGGAATATTAGAAGTCAAACCCAATTTCTTAAATCGACTTCAAACAGAGGGATAGCGAAATCCCGTTACGAGATTCCTTTCTCAGTATATATAGATCGGCTTGAAGTGAGGGTCAACTGGTGTGTTTTAGTTATCATCCTTTTCATTGATATAAAATATTTGAAATTAATCGTATAGGTTTTCTAAGAATTTATTATAATTGAATAAAGAAGTCCCGCGCGAAATAATTTCAGAGATTTACGAGGTTTGAACATCGGTAAACTTAAGGATGTTCGCTCCTCTTGTTTTTGAAATTTTGCCAGATTTTCGGAATCCTCTGGTTTTATCCATGTTTTGCCATTAAATAATTTTGTCCACTTACCCCTACTTTTCTTTTCATAATTTTATTACATATAGTTTAAAAAGCCATATTTGAAAATCTTATAAAATCCTTGTTATTTTTTCGTAGTTTTTGAAACAAAAAAGCGACCAATGTTAAAAGTATGAAAATTCTAGAGAGAATAATTTCCCGCCAAATTTTCAATGGTTTATATCTCGAAAACAAGCACACGGACCCATAATTTTTCTTTGCTATTTTAGTTCCTTTATTTATATACTATCATTTTAGAACAGTCTTTTAAAAAGCTTGTTATTTTGAAACCGAGGAGCGAACATCCTTAAGTTTATGACCCATAAATTATTAACCTTTCCTTTTCCCCTATGTCAGTAGCTGTGGTAATATTTTAGTCATTAACATTACAAGTACAGTCAAATCAATTCAACTAACACTTGAAACATATGTGTCAGGGTGGGTTTAAAACAGTAAATCTTAAAGACGTTTAGTTCTACGGGGTTAATCATCCCTTTTTCTTATAATCTTCTAACTTTTCCAAGAATTTGATATGAATTAAAATAAAGTTCCAAACGATAATACTTTCATGGATTTACCAGGTTTGGACATCGGTTAACTTCAGATTATGACCTATTGTTTTTACAAAATTTTAATCCTGGTATCTATGATGAGTTTATTTAACATTCCGAATTCCTATACATTTACCAGTACACCTGTTATACTATTTTAGTCTCTAAAATTGAGAATACAATCAACTCAATGAAATAACACTTGAAACATATATTTGTCAAAATGGGTTTAAAACAATAAATCTTAAAGACGTTGTTGAGTTTTACAGGGTTAACAATTAAATTTGAAAAGAAAGCAAAACCCATTTCAACTCATCCATTTATTTGATTATTCATTAAGTGTTTGTCAATGGTCCTCAATTGGTTTTGAAGAATCCCACTGTATACTTCTGTATTAATTTGTTATATATGAGGTGAAAATATATTAAAAATGTCAATACAATAATGTGTTTTTATGGTATGAGTACGGGTTTAGAACAGTAAATCTATGTACGGGGCTTAAAATAAGATTGAAAAGAAAATCAATTTATTTGATTATAAATCAAGTGCGAGTTAATGATTATCAATTGGTTTCAAAGAATTCCAGTAGTATATTTCTACAAAATTGCTTTATATGAGGAGAAAACGTATTTGAAAAATAAGGTGTTCGGGGAATTTTGTATCATTTGTACAACAACTCGTCACCTATATCTAGTACTCACCAGGCGCGGATTAAGACAGGGGGGGGGGGAGGTGGTGGAAGGGGGGGGAAACAAGTGCCCGCATCCCTTAAAAACATGTAAAAAAACAGCCATTTGTTTGTCAAAATGTGTTCAATTAACTCCTCATTCGCAGGAGTGACCCCTTACATCAAATCCTTGATCCGCGTCTGTTCACCGTACAGCCATCCACGATTAACGAAAGCCTAAGATGTATGTCATATATGTTATTGTTTTGTCATAAATAAGGTCGTTTGTTTTCTCGTATAAACATTTGTTATGTAGCGGTCTTTTATAGCTGACTATATGGTATGGAATTTGCTAATTGTCGAAGGCTGTCCGCTGACCTTTTGTTGCTTACTTCATCGACTCTGGTGGATAGTTGTATCATTAGAAATCATACTACATCTCCTTGTTTGTATATAAATATTTCAAAACCATGACATGTAATGAATACATTCAACAAAAAATACAGCATACAACATTTGATGTTAAAATTAAAATATATTTGCTAGTGTTTTATGACGCCCCTATTTTTTTTAAAAAGTAAAGCCGTAACTCAAGGATACGAGCAAAGGGGACCACCTTGTAAGGTTATGTGTGAAATTTAAATCATTCATAAATAATTTGCATTTGTAAAAGACGTTAATTAAGATCAGATAAAATCACATAATTTTGTTGTCCTATATGAAGGAATGTCTAACAAATAATTTGCTTTACCGCCTCAAATTTTGCTTTTTTGATTGATAATCAACACCGATCGTGTTGTGCTTTTTCACAATCCAAGATGGTGGAAGACTCCAATACTTCAACTGTATTTGTAATATATCTTTATAAAGCATAAATTATCCAATCCGATCCAAAAGTCTATTTTTTTTATTGTATGTTCTTTTATGTACTTTTTGATTATCTACTGTTCGAGAAAAGTAGTCTAACCCTTCACATTTTCGTGTACCTATCCCAAGTCAGGAACCTCGTCAATAGTTATCGTGTGTGATACCTTAAATAATGGTTTTCGTTATTTGGAGAATTAGGTGTTTATGGCAGGTCTTTGGTTGTTTCTGTCGAATTAATTCACAACTTTTATAGAATCGGAACGACCTCTGGAGGTTTTTATATCATGTTACTGTTTGAGGGTTTCTGTCTCATTGAAGTTTACCAGTGGCGGTTTCAGATGAGAAAATAAAAATAGTACAAAAGTATTCAGTTATATTGAATTACGCCCCCTTTCAAAAATCCTCATTTTTCATATCAATTTGAAGCCCTATGATATTAAATGTACATGTGGAAGAGGATCGATATTCTCTATTTTAGAACATTATGATTAAATTGCCCTTCAGGTTCACAATATACGTCTTCTTACAGCAATATATTATGGAACCCAATTCAAGTACATAGCCGTAGAGATCAATACCACTATCAACCGGAAGACAACCGGATATGCTACTGGGATACCCTTGGTGGAGTTATGGGAAACATTCATAAACAAACAGGTGAGGTGTCATTCAATATCATCTAGGTCCATCGTTAACTATAACGTTAACTGAAAGGAACATCTGTTCCATACTTTGAACATTTTACTTCCAATATTAATTAATAGATACATTAATAATATTAATAACAATCATATCTGATCGCCATTAAAAAAACTGAATTGTAGAAGTTTTATTATAGCATGCAATAAAAATGCATCAAGAATATTCTTCATATTACATTTCAAGTACAGGCTGTTCTTTACTATAATCATGTTCGCTCCTCTGTTTCAAAATAACAAGGTTTTTAAAAGACTGTTATCAATTGATAGTATATAAATAATGGAACGTAAAAGGTAGAAAAAAGTGACAGGTCTGTGTCCTTTTTTTGGAGATATAATCAATTGAAAATTTGACGGGAAATGATTCTCTTTAGATTTATCATACATTTAACATTGGTACCTTTTTTCTTTCAAAGGTAAGAAAAATAACATTGATTTAAAAGGATTTTCAGAAATGGCTTTTTAAAGTATGTGTAAAAACATTATGAAATGAAAAGAAAGGGTTAGCCGGTAATTTTTTTATTGGTACTACATGGATAAAACTAGAGGATTACGAATATCTAACAAAAATTCAAAAACAAGAGTAGTGAACATTCTTAAAGTAAAAGTTTTCTGCCACAGGTCTCGAAGATGCCGACTGGTCTAAAAGGAGGATTTCAACTTACATTCCAAACATGGCACTGGTTTTATGTGCAAAAGGTAAGAACAAACTGACATAAGCTCCTCATGGATACCAGTATTAAAATTGTGTACGCCAGTGGGCGTTTTGCCTACAACAGACAGCTTATCAAAAAATTTAAAAAGGCCAAATAAAGTAAGAAGTTGAAGAGCATTCAATTTGATGACCCAGAGTTCCGAAAGGTTTTGCCAAATACAGCTAAGATAGTGTATTCCTCGGTAAGAAACTCCTTAGTATTTCGAAAAATTCAAAATTTTGTTTACAGTTTATTTCTGATTAATCAATATTACCATATCATTGACAATTCATGTCATCACAGAAGTACTTACTACTGGGATGGTGATACTCTCGAGGAGGAAACTTTCACCAGCAGTGGCATCGACCCATGCAGTGGTTGTAAATAAACATATATAGTTATATTTATTTTGTCATACGCTGCTATATCAAAATAAGGAGATGTTTGCCAATGAGACAACTTTCCACCAAAAGACCAAAAGACCAAAGGACAAAGATGTCAGCAACTTTCAGGTCATTGAACACTGTTGAACAACGAGCAAACTCATACCGTATAGGAAATTATAAAAGGTCCCGGCTTGACAAAAGGTAAAACAAGTCAAACGAGAAACCAAACAGACTGATATATGCTAAAAAACTAAGCAAAATACAAATATGACACACAGGAACCAAGGACAATCACAGAGTTACAGGCTCGAGATTTTGGACGCACATATACGATGTGGCGGGGGTTAAACATGTTTGTGTCCATTTGAGTTTATGTAAAAATGTCAGATCGGAAACAGAACTTCATTTAGGAACCAAGATTCATTTAAATATATAGCAGTGTTAACTACCCTTCTCTCCACCATTTTTCTATCTTTAGCAACATATACCTAGTAAAAAAAGTATAGCAACACATATTTTTAATTTTATATTTCAAAACTCAACTATGCTTCTAAATATAAAAATATAACAATAAATAAATTATTGTAACAAAGAAAATAAACCATAAGGTGCCATGTTTAATCGTCAAACACAAATATTGAAATTTTTATTTCTGCAACTTTGAAATTTTTTAATTAAAAGTATTTTAGTTAAAACATATGTGCTAAACTTTGATAACTCAGTATATATATGTTTGGGTATATATTTTCTTTGCCTTGTTTTTGTAGAGTTTAGCTGACAATGCCGTACAAGGAATCATTATAGGAGTTACCTTGGCTTTTCCCATCCTGACCTTGACAACCATGAATGTAATTATCGGATTTTTTGCAACCATGTCCATTTGTTGCACAACAATTTGTGTGATTGGAGTGATTCCCCTTGCTGGATGGAAACTTGGAGTAAGTATTAGATGAGGCCACTCATGGGGGTGTCGAAGTAATCACATAATCACAAATGTTTTGCCAATATAATCACATAATCATTAATTATTTTTTAAACAAGATAATCGAATAATCAAAAATACAGTCCTAGATTATCAAATAATCAAATAATCATGAAATATTTATAATCACTATATAAAAACTATAAAAACGGCCAAGTAATCACACATCAAAAACCTCATGAGTAGGCTTAGATGATTTTATCTTCTTTTTTTTTTATTTTCCTGAAAAATACCCTTTTGTCCTTTGTTCGAAGCCGAGAGTCCTTATGACATTTTAGAAAATGTTCTTTGAAGGGTGAGTTTATTTGCATAATGAACCTCAAACTGAATAAATTATTGTGTATATGGAGTTTTTTTTAACAACACTGAAATCATTGCATCAATCTCATAATTTTGCATAGACTTCGTTATCAATAATTGTTAAACCCTATTTTGAATTTAGATTTACAAATAATAATTTGTTCATTTCAGTTATTAGTCTCCCTAAACATGTGTATTGTCGTTGGGTTAGCTGTGGATTATGTTGTACACTTGGCGGAAGGATATCACTTATCACTACACAAGGGCCGATTAAATAGAACACGTGATATGCTGGAAGAAATGGCAACATCCGTGTTTTCAGGAGCATGTACAACATTAGGAGCGTCGTGTTTTATGTTTTTTGCAATGGTTCAATTTTTTTTGCAGTTTGGGATATTTTTATTTTGCACAATTGGGTTTTCTTTGTTTTTCTCTCTCGGTTTGTTTACACTTCTGATGGGAATGCTTGGTCCCGAGAACAACACGGGGTGTTTGAAGACATTGTTTGCCAAGTGCAGAAATAAATGTAAAAAGACAAAAAAGACGGAAAAAACGGAAACAGATTCCGAAATAACTTTGAACCCGTCGATATCAGCGTCAACAATTAGTACTGCTGGATCACAAAACAAGTTAATTCAGTCACAGGGACCGCCGTACGTGTCACGAGTGAATGTAAATGGTTCTGTCAACAAAAATGTATGATTTGAAGCATTTAGAACTAACTAAAGATTTTTTTTAGATAGTTTAGCAGAATAGTGCATCAAAGACTTTTGAAAAAAGCTGTGATATATTTTCCGTGCTTTAAGTCAAACTTTACTTTTTAAGTGCCAGTCTTTGTAAGAATCAGGCAATTTAGAAAAAAATCAAAACATGGCCGAAAAAAAGAACCCTACGACCTAACCATCCTAGTCTGAAGTTACCCTCATCCTGAGTAAGAAATGATAGGTCTTTTGTTTCTGCTTGTCTGGTAATTCGAGAAATCTCTAGATAACTTTTGGTTAGAATGATAGCAAATTGCGGAGTTACCTCCCATAAATTGTTAATTTCTAGTGCATTTCAACCCAATTATATCTTGAATTACCAGACCAGGAAAAGTAAAGAATGTTATATTCATGCACATTATACGATTTGAACATAAATTAATGTAAACTTGAGTGGGTTTTTGTTTGTCATGTTTTCGCCACTGCCTGATTCTTAGGCAGATAGGCACTTAAGAGTTGGGAGTCAAATATTGTAAAACAATGTTATGAAATGAGAAGGTATGATCAGGTGATTATGTTTAATTTATAAATTCATGAATATGCACCATCTAGAGAATCTTAAACTCTTGAAACATTTATGTTTTGAAAGTAGCCGTTCCGGATTTTTAATTTACACTCATCTGCATTAGTGTATTTTATGTAATATTTTAGACAAAACATAAAATGTAACATTTAGATTTAACATTATATGTAACATTTTAGACATATCATTGAATGTAATATTTCAGACAAAGCATAAAATGTTAATTTCAGACATACCATAGAATGTAAATTTTAGACATTCCATGTAACATTTTAGACATAGCATAAACATTCCATGTAACATTTAAGACATATTAACATAAAATGTAACATTTTTGACATATTAACATAAAATGTAACATTTTAGACATATTAAGATAAAATGTAACATTTTAGACATAACATACATCAATACATACAATGAAATATTTTAGACATAACACAAAATGTAACATTTTAGAAATTCAATGTAAAATATTCTACATAGATATGTCCCATGAATAAAATTCCTATTCAGTGCCAGAAGCGGATTTAGGGGGGAGGGGGCAGGGGCCCCAGGCCCCCTTTTGTGGAAAAAAAATTTTGTTGTTTATTTAGGGAATCACTGAGTCATGACTGGAGCGGGCCTCCTCTTATGGCAGTCAGTTGGTTCCTTCTTATAAAAAATTTTGGATCCGCCACTGAGTGTGTCATTTTACTATAAAGAAAAACACGTTCATGTGACAAAAAAAAATCCATTTAATTTTCTAATTATGCTCTAATTCTGGTACGTTTCAACAACTCCGATTTTGACCCTGCTCGTGAAATAAATACGAGGCTATTGGTCCTACTCTTTCAATTAAATGGAGATCCATTGCTTACTGGATTTATTGTCCATTGTATAAAATATATGTACAGTATTGTGTTACTTTAATAAGTATGTGTAAAAAAGTGTAAAATAAATTTAGAGAGAATTTATGCTTAAATAGTCGCTATCTCGTTTGGTGCTGAATTTGAAATTTATATGTATGAGGGTCTGGATGGGGGTCCTTCATTTTTTTATTCTTTAATTTGTTAGACCATTATTCTCTTCATTATTTATTTTGTCCATTTTTCTCTATTCTTTATATTTTAAACACCCCATGATTCTCTATCCTTTTTTTTTTACCTTTATTCTGTGCTTTTTGTTCAGTAATTATTTGCTTTTTTGAAACCCCCATCCACACCCTCATATATTTATCGATTTTAGATAGAGTTGTATTGTTATTGTTAATTGTATGTATTATATCGTTACCAGATGGATCATTGTTAATTTTATTATTACATTGTTAATAAGTATTTTAGAGAGGAGAAAATAGTTACGTACTTGTGTCCCCTGAAATCGAAGCAGTAGCGACACCTAGGAGGGATGGCTTCTGTTGACGTGCAATGTCATTCGTTAATCCGCAACACGTTGAAAATGGCTGAATAGAATTTCAACAAATATGATTAGATTCTTTTAGAGTACACGTAGTTGTTCACTTGCAATTTATTTTTTTATATATTTTTTTTATATTTGATATACTGTTGCTCCGCCTCTTATTCATGACTTGGGGAAGTACTTAAAGTTGATATGCAGCTTTATTAACCAGTTTAGTGCATTATGTATGAAACTGCCCCTTTATTAATAAAAGCAAAACTGGTCCATTACAGACTAGCAGTACATTAATACAGGGCCATCATGAATAAACAGGGCTGTAATGAATAAAACAGGGCCATTATGAAAAAAACCAGGGCCATTATGAATAATCAGGGCTATTACGGATTTTCAGTTGTCATCAATTCAAATACATTTCTGGGGAAAAGAAACATCAAGAAATTGAAAGTTCCCAACAATCGTGACTTATCTTATTTGACCCAGTTGTCAAGTTATTAACTACATTATGCATTCCTTGATGTGTATCAATTTTTTTAATTTTGAGTTTTAGAATCCAGAATGAAATCCTGTATTTTATATGCCATAAATGGCTTTGAATAGGACAATAATAAAACTTTATTTACATTTACATGTTTTTCCATCACATCACTTTCTTTTCAATGTTGCATTTGGTATAATTATATATTTACAATTTCTCCACAAAAAAACTGTTTTGGCTTGGTTAAATATTACACATTGACGGTTTGGTTGATAATAGTGTTAAGATAAGGTGTTTTCAAATTGACCCTGTTCTTTGTCCTCGGTCATTAATAATGGTCTCGGAGGCTGTAATATGCCTCGGCGTTGCCTCGTGCCATTACAGGCATCCTTGACCATTATAACAGACCTTGGACATATAACAGGGCAATTATGAAAACACCCATTTATTAATACTATAGTATTAGCAATCATGCATTATAGACATATACGGTATATTAGTCCCACTCTCTCGCCGCCCTTCAATGACTGATGCATTGATTTTAAGTTAACTTTTAAATCCTCATCACAAAATACTGCATGGAAAAGAGATAAATAGCATTCCGAAACAACCAAAAACACTCTACCATGTAAATATGACTGTAGAATTGTGCACATGACGTATCTTTTATAGTCGATCAAATATTCAGAAATAGTCAGTGTATTTCATTATTTTGTATATTTTTATGTTGTTTTTATATTTGTTATATTTGTATATTTATAAATATACATTTCACAAAGAGATTGAGTGTCGATGCAATGTTGCTTTAGCATGACAATCATACTAGTAGCTTTAACTGAAACAAGTACACAGTATTTTTGTTTTGTTTATAGACAAATCAGTGCTATTATTGTATGTTTAATGAGACAATGAGATGCGTGCGCATTTCTGTGTTTGAATCAAAGGAGGAGTTTTGATACGTACCAATATTTGACCGCTGAAATTGTAAAAGAAATTTAAAAAGCCTTTTAACATTAAGTTAGGTTAAAAATATTGATAAATGAACGTATTGCTTTTATATTGAACCTTTAGTGCAGAAAAGTTCACTTGCAATGTCATTATGGCTAACATTTTGAAATTTACGTATCTGACCTAAAATGACAATTTCATGCATAGTTTTTTGTCCAAACCTTATATTTGCAAAAAAAAAAAGATATTTCACATACATTAATCAACATCTTTGTAAAATACATTTTGTAGCAAAATATATTTTTGGGTAAAGCTCTAGCTCGTATACTTAAATATTAATGATAAAATCTCAAAATGAGGCTATTTTGGCACTTTTTGACGATTTGCACTTAATGTAAGTTTGAAGCCAATGTGCGAATATGTAAGACAAAATTTAAAAAAAGTTAAATAATGATGTCCGACAGACGTCTGAACATCTGACAGATGATTCAAGAACCCTAAAAGTAGTTATCATCCCTTCTCCTTAATACAAAGAATGGTAATAGTGTCTTTTTAAGTGAAATTAAGTAGGCCACATTTTTGAAAAAGTATTTTGCTTCTGAAGTGAGAGAGTAAACTTCTTCTTGCAGATAATGTGTATTTCAATTTGTTTGAAACAGTGTCAAAATTGCCATCAGAATATTTTATTTGCAAAATGAATGTGATCCCCTTTTTTCTATCTTCTCAATATACATTTATGAATCTCCCTTCTTTATCATACAGATTGCGCACACGTATCTATGTGTTTCTATGAGTGTGTGAGAGTATATGTTTTGGAGTATTTTAAATGTAAATAGAACAATACAATGCATTTTTACTGTTATAAATGTTTGCTTAATTAAATTGTTGAATTAAATAAAGTCTTGTTAAAGTTGTTTAAAACATTTTTGGTTTTGAGTGTACATGTTAAAGGTAAATCCAGAAAATCGCTTTGGAAGCACCAAATTTATGAAGTATTATTTTTCATTTTCTATCACAAGATCAATACCCACTGCTGCCGAACTGTTTGTCTTAAAGGTATCATGAGGGTCTGGATAGTGGGGTCATTCATTTTTTTATTCTTTAATTTTTAAACCATTTTTCTCTTTTCTTTATATTATTTGCCAATTATGTTCTATTCTATATATTTAAGCATCCCATTATACTCTGTTCTTTATCTTTTTGCCTATTTTTCTCTATTCTTTGTTTCCCCCCTTTATTCTCTGTTCTGTAAAACCCTTCCAGATCCTCTATCATCATACCAGTAGACAGTGTTTCCTCCCTGACCTGATTTATATGGTATTTACCTCAAACATTCCGTTGATATGTTGAATTTCAGAAATTGTATAAAAAACTAATGTTCCAACTCCTTCAGTCAAAATAAAAAGTTAAATAACAAAAACACCGAACTCCAAGGAAAATTTAAAACGGAAAGTCCCTTATCAAATGGCAAAATCAAAAGCCCAAACACATCAAACGAATGGAAGAACCCTTCACGCGTCTTGCTTATCATTTTAGGTCTCTTTTATCCATACAACTCCAAAAGTATGTATACATCCTTGACTTTCAAATGTTTAGTCTTGAGCGTTGCTGGTAATTAAGTGAAGGGAAACCAAGAAAAGAGCTTCGGACGCACCAAATTCATATTATATTGTGTTATTCATTTTTTAGAACAATAATGTTAATTCCAGATCATGTTCAACTACTTGGTCAAATCAATTTTTATATATAATTGATTATGTAGTAAAAATTTAAGGGACCCGATATGAATAAATGAGGAATCGGCTATTCCTTAATCATGTTAATGACAGAGCAAGCTATCCAAAAAAAAAAATAACCCCAAAAACATCTTAAAAACTTAATTACAAAAAGTATAACAAAAATACTGAATTCCAAGGTAAACTAAAAAAAAAAAGTCCATAAAAACTGACAATATCATAGGTTACCAACCAACGGTACGAGTTGAAAAAAACTCGAAGAAAATGGTGGGTTAAACGTGGTTAAAAACATGGTCTTCAACACAATGGGCCGGTAACTCGATTGTTTACTGGTCTTAGTGGACCCGAAAAAAAATTCTGGATATGATTAACAATTAATACAAAATGTAGGTTTTTCAAAATAAATTCGACCAAGACGAAGGACGAGACAATTATACTACCACAGGGAGAATATAAGTATGTTGGATAAGGACAGACATGGTGCCGTACACCAGGTAAAAACTGAACAAAATATGAAAAAAAAATATGCTGCGTTTTCTCCTTAAGGTAATTTGAATTGCAAGAGGAAATCAATCATGGTTCAATTTTCATTAATTAAGATAAACAATTTTGGGACAAAGATTAAGGTTTTGCCTAGCAGATTTATATAAACAAGATTGTCATTATCTATTGTTACAGTATTGCATTTAACATGGACAATCATTGTGAGATCATATCAAAACGAATCATATCAATAAAGATGAAAGAACAATGTCACAAATTTATCAATGAGACAGCAACCCAACGACATAAAAATAACCAACAAATATCCAGACATCCATGTGTCAACATACTAACTGTCTTTAACAATAGACAGGAGTATAGAATACCATAATAAGCTGTAAATCGCCCTGAGTCTTTTGGAATACATCAAATATGGGCTATCAAAGAACAACCATCAAGACTTATACACAGAAAGACGAAAATCATAAGAAAAAACATTGATCAGGTTCCTGACTTGGGAACATATTTTGAATACAGTTTCTGGGCTGATATTCATAGAACGAACGGATTTTCTACATGTCCTACAATAAATTAGTACAGTAACTACGATTGGATATCTTACTTTAAGTTGTTTTATGCATATCAGCCCTGAACAGGGTTTTAAATCTATAATTGTCGTTTGCCCATCATTATCTATCCTTTAAATAGTTGCACCCCTTTATTCTCTATTCTTTATTCTTCCTTTTTTTACCTATTTTTCTGCATTTTTTATAATTATTACTACTTTTTTTAAGCCCAATCCACACTCTCATGAATCTGACAGTACAAACTAATAACGCAATCTACACAGTTTATGATTAAAGGATTAAGAGTATTCAGCACACACCCTATCATCTGATGTTATGCAGTGGCGGATTTAGGGGGTGACAGGTTGCCCGGCCCCCTTATGGAGTTTCATATATCATAAATGCATATGCTTTTTACAATTCACTTCAAATGTTGACTTGGTGAAAAAAAGGTATTTTTTGCCTTATCTTAGCTTTCATATCAACTGGCATATCCCGCGTCACAAGTCGGCAGATCCCGTACCTCCATTTATAAGATCACCGGATTAAACCGAGGTTTGCCGATTGCTTGTATGTGTCATTTATTAAGCTAATATGTTGTATATAATATTACTTTAATTAAAGGTAGAAGATTACAAGGTAAATGATATGTAACTTATTAATAATGTTTTGAAATATCACTTACACATCAACAGATCAACAGATCAACAGATCAACCTGAGGTAGGATAAATTAAATTAACCGTTATACGACCTTTTGCAAAATTATAAAACGAGAACAAAGTATAACAGTTTAAGTAGATTAAATGACAATAAAAAAAAAAGAAACTAGGAGTTAATTGTTAAAACAGATAGTTTTTTTTTTACATATTAAGCACCGCCTATTCATCTTTCGGGGAGGTGGGTGTCTCGAGGCAAACACTCTCTCCCCAACCGGCAAAATAAAACACACAATATTTTTTCCAATATCATAGACTACTGGGACAAGATATTTTACAAATCGATGTTGTTTTTATTCATTCCTTTTTTTTTTATCAATTTTCATTATTTCCCCCACTTCCCTTCTGAAATAAATTTGTATCAACAAAAATCCTAGATTAATTATGACCTAATAAAGCGTGTCTTTATCTACTAAAATATTTCTTAGAATGATGGATGCCGTTTAGAATTGCCCTCAGCATATTCATTTTGCAATACATGCTACCAAATAATGATAGACATGGTCTTTTTTTCTCTTGTTTTCAAGGGAAGGTTTGGTCTGTAAAACCATATACTCTGTATGAGGAGATTGATGGGATTGTCTTCATATTTGTATTATTTAATTTCTGAGCTATTTTCTCTATTTTTTATTTCTTTTGGACCCCTTTTCTTCTATTCTTTTTTTCTTTTGATCCAATTTTTCTCTATTCTCTATTTCGTTTGATCCCATTTTTCTCTATTCTTTATTTCTTTTGATCCCATTTTTCTCAATTCTGTATTTCTTTTGATCCCATTTTTCTCTATTCTTTATTTCTTTTGATCCCATTTTGCTCTTTTCTGAACTATATTCTATAAAACCCTCACCCAGACCCTCACATATAAATGGTATAAGGAAGCGTTAGCTGCACAAAAAAAGAAATTCTTCAGTCATATCCTATATTTCAGTTTCAACTACAAGTAGTGATCGTCTTACAACTTCATAAATTTGGCTAACCGGACACGACTGTGTACCAATTGCTTTCTTAAGACAATTAATTACAATATAATGTCTATCTAATAATGTAAAATTCTTTATGCATCTTTATTAAAGGAATCTTTAACATGCGAATAAGGCGGAACTCTCACTACGCGAGTCATCGGATTAAACATCCATTCCGACAGGATGTGGCTACGTAATTATATACCCCGCGCATCCAAACGGAGGGTCTTACTTACGAATTGAAGATCAGGGATGTCCATATTTCTATACGCCTATCTCGTTAAAATAAGACCCCAAGGTTGACTGCGGAATAGAAATATGGCCACTTGGTCTTCTTCCTACCGGCAGTAAAACCCTTGTCAAAGTGAGGCGTCCGTTTGGTTATGCGTGATGTATAAATCCGCAGCCACATCCGATCAGAATTGGGACGTTACATCCAATGCCTCGCGTAGAAAGATAGTGTCGCACTCTCTGAACATAAAGAACCCTTGCAACAACTCTTTAAGGGGTCCGTAGGTAACCTGTTGCAAGGCTAAATGTCAGTCCCTATATACAGTTTACCCAATTTTCCAGTGGCAGTCCAAATTTCCCGCACTTAATCCCGGTCGATCCCGTTTACAGGACATACATATTGTTTGTATTGTTAATTTGTTCTAGTCCTGGACATGCATGGAATATTTGCCAATGGACATTAAGCAACCAATCAATGATCATTAAAATTTGATTAAAAAAAAGTTCACCATGCTTCGTTAGATTCGTTTCTTGAACGTTATACAAGAGCGACAACCACATCTAACTGACCAAATTGAAAATTGTAATACCCAAGTTAATTTTTCGAGTTCTTCAACACTAGAATTTGCACCGCAATTTTCATTCTCTATGCAGATATTCGTAAAGTCACTACTACATGTATTTCGGTTATTGATTTTTATCGTAAAAATTTGGCGAATGATGAATGAATATTAAACAATGATCAACAAAATATTTAAATCAATCAATCCATATTTATCTGTTTGTGCAATTGTCATAAGTCATCACTTGGCAGATGTTACAAAAATTTTGGCGCGAATCCCAACATAGGTCATATTTTGAATAAAAGTTCGTATTCATCAATTTTAACATATCTTAATATTAATTGTACAATTTTGGCAATTGTTTCAAATTTATTTCGTAGACGTCATCAAATAATTTTTGGAATTAAAACTTCTTAGTATGATCTGAGCCTATGATTTTTTGTAAGTATAGTTATAAATTTTATATTTTATATAAGCAGTCGGACATAATCTGTATGGGACTTTAGGAACATAAATAGCTCAGCAGGAGCCCACTGAAAACTATGAATCAGCTGAGGAGATGTGGAAGGTAACTTATTTCATAGTGTCACGTGTCATCTATCAAAATATTGCAATTTAATTCTGTTTTCTATCAAGTTTAAAAAAAAACGCTCACTTTTCATGGCTGTAAGGGATCACAGAGTCCATTTTCGATTTATGATATGTTAAACTTCTTTCTAATGTACTTTATGTGATACATTTTATTTTCAATTGCTAAATTAATGGCATATGTGAAGTGTACCTAATGGAAGAGAAATCTAACGACAGAACGTATTTATTACCGTAGTCGAAAGTTTCACTTCTTTAGTTGCACATTTTGCTCGCCATTTCATATTTGCGTTTAAAAAAAACATATAAGTTTAAAAATGATATAGACATAAAAGTCTAAAAAGATATTATCGTTCATTGATTGATTGACAATGAGCCACTGGTCCTCAATACACTATTTCCATTTATACCGCAAGATGAAGGAAGTTGGGAAATAAGGCCAAAAAACTTTAAATCGAAATGACTAACATAATATATGGGGTATACGCGAGACAGTAACCCATCGACACAAACAACCAACCGACCTTTAGTGGTCAATATACAATATACCGTCTTCAACAAAGAACAGGTGCTTATACAATGTGACAAGCTTAATTTGCTGTTACAAAATTTTGAAAATTATTTAAAATTAAGGAATGTATCTCCCTCATGCAAAGCTCTGATTCCTTGCCCGACTTTAGCTTTACTTTTTTGTCCCTTTTGGTTTATAGCTCTTCATCTTTTTAATAAGCTTTGGATTTTCACATATTTTGGCCTCGAGCATCACTGAAGAGACATTTATTGTCGAAATGCGTATCTGGTGCAAAAAAATTGGTACCGTTTATGTTATTATTTAATTCAATAACATTTTTTCTACATGTTTGTTATTATTTTGCAAAGATATGCATTTGTATATGCCTTTTATATTTAGCGTTGGTGATATGAACAGTCCTCGAGAGCAACGCTGTAATGTATGCCAACTCCGACGTGTGTACAATACTGCTGTCGTCTGGTGTTCCGAATGCGAGGAAGCACTATGTTCCGAATGCAAACAATATCACAGCCTGATGAAAATGTCCAGAAGCCACAAAACAGTTTATATTAGCGACTACCAACGACTCTCGCCATCTGTGCTTGCCATCAAAAATCGATGTGATGATCATGAAGAGAAGTTTGAATATTTTTGCGATCGGCATGGCAAACCGTGCTGTATTATTTGCATAAAGGATCGCCACAAGGAATGCCGGGATTTAAAACAAATCAGCGATTTAATTAAAGATTCAAAATCATCAAACGAATGCACAACTATAGAAAGGGGATTGAAAAACGTACTACAAACCATTGACCGCGTTCGGAAAGATAGAACGGAAAACATACTAACTCTAGATGATCAGGCGACCCGATACCAAAATGAACTCAGGGAAATGAAGCGTGCCATCAACGACCATCTCGACAGAATGGAAAGTCAATTTCTCGATGAAATGGCATCAAAACAAAGGGAAATGAAGTCAAGGATCCAACGAGTAATCGATGATATTGATGATCGAAGAGAAAAAGTTCAAAAGAAAATCCGAAATATCAACGCCATGAAACGATATGCATCCGACCTTCAGAATTTTCTTGGTATCAGGGGAATGGAGTTCGATGTCAAAAATGAGCAAGAGTATTTAAAAGCCTTGAAAGAAAACGGCAGTCTCGACAGCCTGGATATGTTCGTGCATTTCCATTCGTTCTCAGCTCTTGAAGCCATCAAAAATAATGTTACAGTTTTAGGCCGTATCACAACGAAAACAACAAGATGTACGCTGAAGGTCACGCCACAAAATTCCAACCTGGACAGATTCAAGTCTATTTCATGGTGGGATCTAAATGACAATTGACAAGTTTCGTTTGAAATAAGACATGAATATACTTTTCGTATCAGATTTGTTTGCTTTGTTTTTATAACGAAAGTTTGTAAGTTAACTGTAGGATAAACTGTTTTGGACGTCTTCATACTCAGAAATGACATATAGTTTTCGTCTTGTTTTCTCTAAAACAATTCTCGCTTTACTTTACAAAGGTGATTTACTGATAGTCGAAGAACGCCTCTTTTTTTTTACGTTTCTTTAGTTCATAACTAAAGTTTGGCACGTTAGAAAAAAAAGAAATAAAAAAAAAAAATAAAAAAAAAAACACCGATAACAAAGTAATTCTCGTCGTTCAGCAATTCTCGCAATCGTACTTTAGTTTCTTTTAAAAGTATATGCAAGACTTCATGCAGTACGTAGAATTGGAAATAAGCGATTCATCTAAAGTTTCCGAAATATGGAACATATCTGATGGATTAAAAAAAAATGGCGGTGAGAACTCCTACTCGTAGATAGGTACTGTAAGACTTGTATCTAAAGTATGATTTAGAAATATGATGTGATTCTTATCTGGAATAAATCTTGTCATGAAATCGAAATAAAATCAGTATTAAAATACCATTGAAAGATCGCTCTCCGATTAAAAATCAGAATGAACTCATTGCACGCTTTGTCAGTCCTTCTCATGCTAAGGTTTAACCAATAGGATTTTAAGGGACATAACTCGTAAACATCACTGAAACGTTTGTGTTAAGCCTTTTCATAAATATATTAAAAGCTTCTAAGTAACACCGATTATTCTAATTTTACCGAAACTTTTGCCTTTCAAATGAAGGACCAAACGTACATAAACCACACGTGCTGATGTCGTTCATTAAATAACTTTCAATGGTGATTTTAAACGCTGTGTATATTTTGTGTATTTCATACAGTTTTCTTAAGTTGCTTGACACTAACGGCAAATAGGTTTGCTTTGTTTGTTTAGATTATGTTAAATAGAACAGTATTGTATTGAATGTTGACGTCACAACTGTGTAAAGTATTTTTATGATTGTTATTTATCTCTTATAGAGGACGACAACGAATATTGGAATTAATAAACCTTGAAAACAGTCTCATGTTTTTAATTCGTAAATTATTGTTAAACTTTTGTGGATACAAACCTGTATCCTTCCGCACCAACCATTCCATATTTTGTGTGCGTGTCCGTGTGTGTGTGTGTGTGTGTGAAAAAAAAATTGGGCAGATTTTTTTTTCTTCAAATAAATTGTTTGATCCCAAATTTCATTGAAAAAATAGTTTCTTTCAGGGCAATGAAAAAATAGTATATTTCTAAAAAAAATTAGGAGAGAAATAAAAAGGACATAGAGCTAAAGCAAATTTCTTGTTCCTTTATAGTATTGACAATATAGTTGTTCGTTACTTATGTCGAAAATTGAAAAAAAATTGTGCCTAGAAAAAAAAACCATGCTCCCCACAAGAGATGAACGGTATGTGCCTTAAATTAGGGGATACATACGACATAGAGTTTTAAAACAAATTTCTTGATTCTTGTTTCTGTATCATACTCACAATATTGTTTGTGTTTTTATACCTAATTCGAGAAAAAAGTTTGTCCATAGTCAATTTGAATTATGAAACACAGCAAAATATTGCACAACACAAAACAAAACCGTCTTTTAATTTAAGAATTATACTTGATGGATATGTCAGTTTGTTATGAGGCTCTAAATGGGGTTTACAGAATAGAGAATAATTGACAAAAATGCAGAATAAAGGGCGACAAATATAAATATTAGAGAAAAATAGATAACAAAATCAAGAATAGAGAATAATGGGGTGTTAACATATATATGATAGATAATAATGGCCAAAATAAGTAAGGAATAGAGATAAATGGCCTCAAAGTCAAAGAATAAAGAAATGAAACACCCCCATCCAAACCCTAGATTATTATGTAATAATTAAAGCACGCAAGACCATCTAGTCGGTAATGCCTTTTAATAAATACAATGCCCCTTTTTAATCTAGTGATTTAATCAATTTGTTTTAGGTCACTTGGTTTAAAACTGTTTTTCGTCTTTTAGGTGTTTCCCCGTGTGTACAGAGTTAGTTTTGTATGAATATAGCTTTATAATTTACTTTTGGATGTAACACGTCTAATGGTTGGCTGAAAGGTTTTTGTCTATCACTCATAGACATAATGTTGTCATGTGACCGTGACGTCATCAACGTTTTTCATGATTTACTCCTTCAAAATGGAATTTAGAATTAAATCATAAGGAATGACTGTAGTATTTTTTCTGTCTATTCGAAATAACCTTAAGAATGTGGTGCACACTCTAAAATAACACGCTATGCGGGTTATTGAGTGTGTTAAGAGGACATGTTTAGACAATCGGCATTAATATGGGAACAACCTGTGATCCTTTTTCTTTTTACATTTTCCTTTATTCGCATGAGGCTGACTTCAAACTAGAAGAATGAAAAGAAGCTAGCAGTATCCTTTTACTTCAGGTTGATATAGATGATGAGTTCCATCAAATAATTAAAAATTTGGTGACTATGTTGAACACATGAACCTATTCCATTGTACTTGAAATAAAGGACAACACAGAAACAGTGAAGTGTGTTTAATATCTTAACTTACATTAAGTTTGGTTGAGAACTAAACTTCCGACAAAATGGACAATTGTGAACTTTCCATTTTACGTAGCAACATCTCCAAAGCGCCTGTATACATGGTATATTGAATATATAACTCCAAGTTGATACAATATTCCAGAGTTTTTGTTTCCTATCATGCTTTCCTTGACAAGATGATGCTGTTTGCAAGGAAGCCAATGAACCAAGGGTTCCTATTGGTAAAATTGATGTATCCCTTCAACAGGTTATGGACGCCTTTATAATTTGGTTGACCGTTAGGGAATATCTGTGTCATAGATGACCCCTGATATGGCCCGAGAACACAGTTATTTCGTAGTGCATTTCTTTTAGACAATAAAGTCAAATAAAAAAAATCGCACCTGCTCTATCTCAAAAAGATTAGTGTAGTGTACTACTATTGGGACAAATAATATCAAAATTATAGAAAAGTCTACCAGCTCTAACTCAAAATATTGACAATTCTATGTTAAGGGGGTCTAAAATCAGTTTGACAGCTTCAGACATACTAGTTTTTGACCTTTTTTAACTGGACCAAATCACCACTTAACATAAAGATTCAGCAACCAATTTTTTTTTAACATGTAATTTCATCCCCTTACTTAATATTTCATGCATAAAATATAAAGAAATAGATTTGGAATGTGCATGAAAAAAATTTGCAAGTTATACACTGTCCACACTAGGGACTATATTAGACAACGAAAATCTAAGGACGATAACTGTGTCCTCAGACCATATGTTCGAATTGTCGTAGCCACAATAAATTCCTCTATCTTCGAATGCGACTTATCATGACAATTTGATTTGCCATCAGAAACGGGTATTACTAAGATCTGCTTACCCTCCCCCACCTCCCGGTTTGTTGTAGGGTATATGATGATCAGTCTTTATTTTTGTGTTGTTTGTCTCTATGTCGCTTTTCTTTTTGTCCATGGTTTTGGCTGATTTTCCATCCGGCTTATGATTTTTTATTGTCTCTTTTTGTATCTTATGCCTTTTTTTCTCACAATGGATCCATTAAAACGAAATAATAGAAAAGAAATAATGTTGAGTCAATGAGACAGCAGTACCAACATCACACAAACAAACACATATTCGTCATGACCTACAAGGCATATCTTTTGACAAAAACAGTTTGGTCTTTTTAAATTTGATGTAAGTAAAAAAGTTAATTTATTAAGAGTATGTACATATATGCAGTTAGTAATACAATGTGCTATGAAAACTCTTGCAACCACCTACAACATATATACTAAACATTGCAATAATCAAAGGTAAAAAAATCTACACATAAACAGCACATAAAACAGCACATGGACGAATGGCAAATACAAATGTTACATGAGCACATTAAAATGTCATATAGGCAACATATATTAAGAACAAGGCTTTGAGGAAAAAGCAGAGGACAATTCGTATCATGGTCGAACATATTAGTATAAGCTTAAAAAAGCACTTCGCTAATAAACCGTTCGCAAAAAGTTGGTATCCAAAAATTATTCAGTCTGTTACAAACTGTGGCTTGACTACAGGTGACTTGATTCTTTTCAGAGTAACTTGATCATCATGTGAAGTATGGGAAATTTCTTTTAGTTATTAACTGTGTAGTATAAAAATAAAAAGATGTGGTATGATTGCCAATGAGACAACTCTTTAACAGAGAACAAATGACATAGAAGTTTACAACTTTATTGGTGTTGAGTAGACCATAGATGTATAAACCCATCTACATCTATGAGTAGACAGATTGATGTACTCGTCTTATCTGGATTGTTTCTTGGTATTTCATAAAATATTTTCTAATGGGCACCCAGATAATGCATTCATTTTTTTAAAAAATTTTTTTCAATTGATTGAATAAATTGATAACAGCTAGAGTTTTTGTGACCTTGGTACCGTCCTTGATTCGTGTAAACTTATCACTTACACCGTCCCCAATGCAAGTACACCATACACCATACACAATGATCTTCTTGGTGGCCGGATGGTCTAAGTAGTCAAACTAAGTTGTATTACTAGCCTGTCAACACTGAGATTGTGAGTTCGAATTAGGTGCGCTCGACTCCAATTTTCATTGAGTAGGATCATCAGTTTTCCTTCCGAAGGCCGGTGGTTCTCTCAGGGCATTCTGGCTTTCTCCACCAATTAAAACTGACCACCAAGAAATAGTACAATAGTGTTGAAAGTGGCGTTAAACACCAAACAATAAATCAATCAATCTCAATTGAATCATGCACGATATTACACCATTAAAAACTTTAAGAAATGCAATATATTTACAGAGAAGGCGTAAAATTATATATTGCAATATATTTAAAAAAAAAGTAACTTATGACGGAGGTGTTAAAATCATACACCATTCCCATTTAAACCATACACCGTTTCCCATTACACGATACACCATTATTCACTACAGAGTAACACGATACACCATTTCCCTTTACATGATATACCATTTCTCATTTTACGATACACCATTTCCATTACACGATACAGTATTTCTCATTACACAATACACCATTTCTCATTACACGATACACCATTTCTCATTACACGATACACCATTTCCCATTACACGATAAACCATTTCCTATTACACGATACACTATTTCTCATTTCCGTCTTCACCATTCCCCATTACAAGATACACGTTATTTTTGGGGAAGTTTTCACCATTCAACGTCTGTTCAGGCACTTAATGCAAAGCTTTACAAATCCCAATCTGATTGTGATTGTGGCCATGATTTGCTTACAAGGATCTGACAACACTCCGTTTCACTTTCTGTTCTGGTAATTATTACAAAGAAATTTTGGAAACATCATCTGTATTTTAATCAGACTGTACAAATCCTATTTATCAAATGATTGATTGATTGGTGTTTAACGCCACTTACAGTACTTTTGTGGTATTTCGTGGCGATTAGTTTTTATTGGTAGAGGAAGCCGGAGTGCTCGAAGAGAACCACCGACCTTCGCTAAGAAAACTGACGGTCCTAGTTATTAAGATTGGAGTCGAGCGCACCTGCAACGTGCGGGATTCAAACTCACAACATCACGATTGACAGGATACAGTAGTTCGACTACTTAGACCACTCGTCCACCGAGGACCCCTATTTATCAAAAGAAATTCTTCTACGGCATAAAGTTTTCCATAGACAGAAAAATAGTTGGCGTAGGTCGCCTAACCACTATTACTGGAATATTCTCTTGTATCCATTCTTCCAGTTTATGTATTGGTTGACTGAGATCTTCTTCAACATTTCTGTACAAGTATCCAAGACCAATATGAAATTTCAGCTTTGCATCATCATTGTAGAAGTTAGCTGCACACCAAGTTCTCAAACTGTTTATTTTAGCTTTTTGCATCGGAATCCGTATGTGAACACTTATGCTTACTGCTGTAGACGTTTTTCTAATTTTGGAAACAATAACTTCTATTTCATTAA